TTTAGGCTTCTGCATCTGGAACTCTCTGGCAGCGTCCGCTGCGTCTTGCCAGCCGACCGGCTGAAATCGTCCTTGTTCTCTGGGCACGGACTGAACTCTCAAACCAGGTTAGTGACTGACGCATTCATAATCATCCTCCATCAGATTATCGTGGTCACTAACCTGTGTTTCTTCTCTTATAGATGTTCCTGCTATAGACGGCCTGACCATTGATACCATGGCTCCACAGCCGTTGTTTAAATAAGCATTTTAAGTTGTTCCACTGTCAGTCTTGCCTGGATGCTGGGCCCTACGTTCTGAGCACATTACACCAATTTTTTTAACAGTAATTCATGGTAGTGTTCTCCTCATATTGGTTTAAGCAAATTATCATCAAGGTCGTAAACACCAGGTGGTTTGTTTTTACAATTCATCAGAGGTGGCTGGTCAATAAAGGACGCTAGGGTGCCGCCCCACCCACCAAATGACCTTGATTAACACATAAAAAACAAATAAAAATCAAATTATGAAATTAAAATACTTTGAAATATATTCATATAGTTTTTAGATGTTCAAGGTAAATATTTATTCTTTAATGATGAGTAAAGTTTTTTTGTTCATCGTCAGATTGGTAACATATTTCCGCCCTGGGGCACAAAAATCTTTGGCCATAGACTCTCTTTAAAAGTTGTACATACACATAGTACATAGTGCCTCTGCAATGCAAAAGGATAGGAGAGCTGGGAGCACAGGAGAGCTGTGTCCCAAGCGACCTGACAGGAAGAGTTTTTCACAGTCGTAGTGCGGCTGATTGACAGGTTGAGTTGTGGAAGCTGGAGGTGAAACCATTTGGACCTTATCAGCCGAACATCAAAATTAATCAGCAGTCCAAAGACAGATGGAGGCGGTACACTCTGTCTTTTTCCAGGACCTGGTTTAGCTACTAGGCTTGGCTAACTGCATGCAGCGGGGCTGAAGCTTTATCCTGCTTTCCCTGCCTCCTTTTTGAAATGTCAGGATCTGACCCAGCATGGATAAAGACAGGTAGGACTGATTTAAAGCACTTTTTAGAAAAGGCAAAGAAGCATGAACAATCTGGAATTCACACGGAAAGTAATATAATATAGTGTACCTTTTCTAGGTGTTTGTTAATTTACATAGTTATTCTTAAATAAACACATCCTCAGAGAATAGTTTTTATATATTGAAAAAATATAAAGCTGACTAATGGAGCCTAGGCGGAAGTTCAAGTGAAGAAACTGATTGCTCTCCTACGTCCACCTGCGACACAGCCAATCAGCTTTCAACCACACCTCCACAAAGCCAATCGGCATCCAAAGTTCGTCTTAAAAGGCCTCCGATCCGCATTTGTCTGCTTCTGTGCGCATTCAGCGGATGCGCTGTGTGACTTCATTCAAATGACCCCGTTTCAACCCACCTCCAGCCCCTCCTCCACCATCGTAGCTAAAGCTTCATCAGAGCGTCATTCCTCCTAGACTCTTAGGGCCGGATTTATCAAGATCCAATTTTGCGTGCAGTAATTTGCGCTCGCAAACTGGAATTTTGCGCGAGGGGCTGAACCATGGTTTGCGGGTGATTTAACAAGAGCGATTGCGTAACTGGTGGCAGGTGCAAAACTGTTGGAGACGCCCTATTTAAATGATGGTTTTGCGCGTTTTCTGGTTTGCGGCATGGCGAGTTTGGACAGCAGAAGGTGCAAAAGGAAATTCGACCCCATGGAAATGGAGGTATTGGTGGATAAAGCCAACAAACATTTAAGTGAGCTACAGCAAAGAAGCGTGCCTGTCACACAGAGGAACGCTATATGTGAACAAATCTGTAATAAAGTAAACGCTGTTGGTGAAACCTTGCGAACAGTGGATGAAGTAAAAAGAAGATACCAGGATATTAGAAGGCGAACCAAAGAAAAACTGGCATATAACAAAACATCTGCGAACAAAAGAGGAGAGGGCACAGTAGATGAGATGCCTCTGACCAGCATTGAGGAACAAGTACATCTGACGCTCTGTGAGGAGCAAATCACTGGAATTGCAGCTCCAAAATGGCAATGCTGGATAAACTAAATGTTTTGATGATCGTTTCCTCGTTCATTCCAAAAATATTCACACGGAGTGAAAAAATGCGTTCTCTGCGTCTCCTTGCTTCATTTCAATGTCTCCTTCTTGCGACAATAACCGCTGCCATGTGTGCGCAATTACGCATACAGACCATTTGCACCTTCTTTTGAAACGTGTTAAATATAGAGTCAGATACCGTTAGCAAAATTGCTTTCAGGTTTAATAAATCACTTTGCGAGTGCTAAATTAAAATATTTACATGTTCTCCTCCCACAAGACGCACTTTTGCGTGTAAACGCCCCATATTGCATATTCATTGCAGAAAAAGTACTAAATGGATAAGAGGCGCTATTTTGCACATTTTAAAGACCAAATCCTTTTAGCACGCTGTTGATAGATCAGTTTGTACATTTTTTAGCGTGCGCAGTGAAATAGCTCACGTTTTTATACACGCAAACCTTTGATAGATCTGGCCCTTACTGCGTTCCCTGTCTCATCTTAACCGGTCCGGCAGAAGACCGCCATGTTGAGCCTGGTTCTGCCAGAGGTTTCTTTCCAATGGGGAGTTTTTCCTCTCCACTGTCGCTTCATGTGTGCTCATCATGGACAGGTTTTCTTAACCTGTGTTATCCAACTGGACTTCCATCTTCCAGGTTCCTGAGTGAAGCTCTAGTATCAGCTCACCCAGTCCACTGGATCTCCCCTTAAAGCTCTGCATACAATCTCACTAACCAGCAGTCTACAGACTGACCAACTTCATCTATCTCCACTCCACCACCTGTTTCATCCCTGGGGGGGAAACAGCCTTGTTCTTTACTCCTGTCCATGCATATTTATCAAAATTAAGCGCTTGGTTTCCTGCCGAGGTCTGGGAGTAATTGTATCAATAAATTTCTCCTAATTGTCTTTTCTCTTCATGTGAGTTTTTCAGATTGAAATAGCTTCTCCATTATTATTTTACTATTTATTATATTATTTTTTTAGGGTTGTGACACCATATTGGATCATGCAAATCTCTAATTTTCCTTTACAAAGCCTCAGAAGGGCAATATAAAAGTGCAAAAAGTAAACCTGTACGTTTGATAAAGTGTTTTTACAGTGTTTTTGTTCTTGGCATTCTTTTAATTTACCATTGTGATCACCTAGTATAGGTTTGATTGGTTTTTGGTATACGTCTGGTGGGAAAAACTCGTATGCACATATGTACATGTAAATACAGTACATTTATTTGCCGTCCCTTGAATGTATTATTTTACTTTGCTTTATGATACAAAAAGAGCATTTAGAAAAAATAAGGGTGTGTTTACCTCTGAACAATTCTATATCTTCAAAAGAAAATACAGAATAAATCCACATCAGCTGGTGTCTAGCTCCAACTGTTTATAGGCGAGAGGCGAGGCACCCTGGACAGGTCGCCAGTACATCACAGGGCAACACAGAGACAAACAGGACAAACTACCATTCACACACACACACACACACACACACACACACACACACACACACACACACACACACACACACACACACACACACACACACACACACACACACACACACACACACACACACACACACGCACACCTAAGGAGAATTTAGAGAAGCCAATTAACCTAACAGTCATGTTTTTGGACTTTGGATAAGAACTAAGGGGAGAGAGAGATAGATACAGGAAAGAGTGCATGAAGAGGAAAAAAACAAAACAGCAAAAATAAACACAGAAAATATGCAGTACTCCTACAAGTCTGCTTCCATACCTGTATGAGATGAGAGGAGCAGAGAACAGAGAACATAACAGCAAAAAGGAGACTACAGACAACCAAAGTAAGCATAAAAAAACCCTGCATGAGACCCAGGGGCCTGAGGCCCGAAGCCGGACTGCCCCCTAGTGGGGACCCCACAGTGCCAGCAGGCCTTGGCCCAGCAGCCACCAGGACTGAGACAGCAGCCACTGTAGTATCCACAATAATGATCATATTTAATCAACTCTTTGAGAGGAAAAAACTCATTAAAAAAAAAGAAATAAAAAATAAAATACATAAATAGATAAAACCCCATCTTTACAGTAATCAAAATATCATCACAACGTACCACCCCAACACAACATGAAAACAGGTTTAACACAAGTGTCAGAAGGAGCTGCATTAAAGACACCAGACAAATCTAAATTAGCTACTAACTGAGCACATTCATTTTGCAGTAATAAAAAACATGTTTAAAAAAAAAATTATAATAAATTCTTACTTCAACATGATAAATAAATGGAAGCTTAAGGAGGAATTCAAAATTATTTATTGTTTCAGAACATAATGAAAGCTCATATCATGTCAACTCAGTAGGTAACATACAACATAATCAGCATAAAATCAAAGAAAAAGTATAAGATAAAAAAAAACATTCAAATTAACGTATATTACTTTAACTGTCCTAAATACACTTCTTCTTCTGTAAAGTTAGGCAAATTTTATTTTCTGTCCAAAAACAGGCTAATTTTCACCAGCCTCCCAGTAATCATTGCATTAAAAAAGGTAAGAATTACAATAAGGCAACTATTACAGAATAATGTAATTGATTGTACTCATTTTCTATTCAACAGAATTAAATTCAGTTTATCATACAGCCCCAATTCACACCACGTCGTCTCATCTTTATAGAGACGATTCAACCAGATCATACAGTCAGATGGATTCAAAGTTTTCTATCTAAGGAAAACCAGTTGATTAACTCATCCCTCACACCAAGTTTGCATGTGATATTTATTTTCTATGGCTTAAAGGTTGGTTATATGGAGGTGTGTCGCAGTTAGCTTGTCACAGGTATGACGCAAATATTTCTGATTTATGCCCAATATTAAAGCGTGGTCTGCGCTATGTTATTCCACGCCACAATGCACCACCAATCACCAACTAGCTGTGGGTCTAGATACGACCGAGGCAGTGAGGAAGTAGGGGCGAGTTTGTGCAACAACGGAGGGACATGAGGGCCAAAAAGAGTTAGAAAAAAGGTACCTAGCACCTCGCTCTTCTAGCTGGTCTAACTTCACGAGTTGTTTTCCACAATGGCGGTCAGCCATTAAGGTAACAAACAGGAAATCCTCATAGTGTATAGCGGATGTAGATTTGACCAATCAGAGGCCTCCTGTCTGCGGTCACCTACAATTTTGGAGAATGTCTACACCGGAATGTCTGCAGAATGGAGGGGTGCATATCAGCGTAAACTGCGACACACAAGCAGATGACCTGGTTGCTGAGCATAAACCAGCCTTTAACGTGGTACGACACAGAGTCGGTAAGGTTTGGGTGCGCGTGTTCCGCCCATCGTGAACTCCAGACTGGGCTGCTCTCCTGCAGGATACGACAGCTTAAACCTCTGAAGGAGGCAGGTGAAGAAGAGGAACAACTCCATCCTGGCCAGCTGCTCTCCGAGACACACTCGCTTACCTAAAAGTACACCATTCAACATACTGTTATATTTTGCTACAATGATAAAGAAAGATGGTAGTAGCCATTAGGAGGCCTGTATGAACATTTCTATTTCAAAACAGAATCAGGTTCACTTGAGCATAAAAAGAAAAATTTTGAGGATTATCTGCAAAATATATCCTCAAAGTCACAATTTCAAAAATTAAATTAAAAAAGCTAAATTTAAGAATTGTGATTAAAAAGTCACAAAAACATAATTTGCTGATAAAAGTCCAAATATTCAGACTTAAAAATAAAATGTTTAATGTCTTCAAGAAAACAGTGGAGTTACATAAAATATTGCTACCATCTATGCTTCATTGAAGGATTGGTCAACAATCATTACAAATTTAGCATAACCTTTTTACCTGAAAAAGTAGTTGGAGTTTTTTTTTTACATTTTAAATTTAGATTTATGTCAGTGTTTAACTTAGTTAGTACTTTCTACGCAGTTTTTTAATTATAAAAAAAATGGCTTAAAATAAAAACAGTTTTAACTGTAGCTCTTAAGTTTTGTTTTTAGTTTAGTCTTTAGTTTATATATATATATATATTAATTACATTCTATAAATTAGAAATTAGATAGAAAAAGCAAATATCTTATTGTATACTGAAAAAAAGCCTGGCACAAACTGCTTCAGGTGACAATTGCAGCCACACATAATCCTCAAAAATGCTAACCCTAATGTGCTAAAACTTTGACTAAATATAAGCTTCCTTTAACATAGTTATTATACTTTATTTTACATTTTGAGAATTTAACTGTTTTGATTGTTAATTTTTGTTCTGTTAAAAAATCACTTTGTTGCACTATTTCAGGCTTGCTGGTGTTTTCTTTCCAACACCTAAAGTCTCCTTCTCTCTTTTTGTAATTTCTGTATATAAGTAGCTAGAATTAGGAGAGAAAAAAAATCTATCTTTTTTTGTCATTTCAAAAATGATCGGTATACCAGCTTAGGTCTTACCTTGCTCAAAGCCTAATCATATAACATGCTTTTACAATTAAATTTAGCACACAGTAAAATCAAATGTGTTAAATTTCCAGTGTTGGTGTTTTATGTTAATTCAACTATACTTCACTATAGCTCTGGTGAATTTCAATGGTGAAGTCCTCTGGAAATCTTCAATAATTGATGTTGATTGCAGATGTGTCTAGTACAGTGGTCACCAACCTTTTAACAGTTGAGGGCTAATTCAGGGGCACTGAGTCACAGGAAGGGCTACCAATACTGACCTATGAATTTCAAGGGTCAACGTTCACCTAAACTTCATACATTATAAACATATCTTTATCGTTTCTTTAAATTTCTAATTTTCTTTTAGACATTTTCATTTTGAAATCTCTATAAATGCTTAAATGCCATATATGATTAAATGATGAAATGAGCTATAACTGATTAAAAAAAGAGGAGCAACAGAATACAATTAAATTTAAAACGTAGCTCACTGTTGAGTTGTTCTATTTTCAGAAGACTCTAAGGGCACTCCTTGTGGTCCTTGAGGGCCCCTTGGTGCCCGCGGGCACCATGTTGGTGACCCCTGGTCTAGTAGTTCCCATTGATTTTGCTTGTAAAGCAGGGAGAATGGCGCTAGGCTTACCGCACCGTGGCGTCACTGCCGGAAGATGGCAGCAGGGAGAGGCTACTATATTTAGGCAAAAATGGACGCTCCCAGAATCAGTGATCGCAACAAAAATTATTTCACTGATTAACGCTAAATTAATTAAAACACAGCGAATGTATTAGTTTTAGGTATAAATAATGATCCATTAATTATTCCTTGCTGCCTGGACTACGCCTTTAAGAGTCCAACTGAATGCAAGCAAACATGCAAACTTTTAAAAGAACCTGAAAATGAGACTGACCTGTAGAAAAAGGTAGGAAGGCGTCCCTCTTCCTAAATTTACCATCCTGATCCAGAAAGTGTTGAGGATTAAAGGAATGTGGGGTCTCCCATTGCGACTCATCGTGGAGGACAGAGTTCAGTGCAGCCAAAACCATGGTTCCCTAAAAACAAGACAAACAGAAAATAAATGGCTTTCACTCTAACTTGATCTGTGTTCATGAGCACAGATACACACCAGCAGGCCAGCAGACATCTTTTAGCCTGGACAAAACATTTCAAAATGGGTCCCTATCCGTGACATTCATATTTTGTTGACCCAAGTTTATATTGGAGCTCAAAATATTAACTTCAAAAACTTTCTTGAGCATTTTGGGTTTCACAGCAGGATGTTTGTCCCATCGGTCGTTAACCTCCAGCCTGGACCTCTAGGTGCTGCAGTGGATGCACCTCATGCATCCTGACCAAATTAGAAACAACGCAGCCTCTTTCCACAAGCGTGTTTTATAAAAAAAATAAAATAAAAAAAAGAGAAATGTTCTTATTTATTAGGTGCGTTTCCTTATATACAGTGAAGTTCTTTAAAAAATGCATTTAGATTATACAGTAGAAATACTGTGGATAAATTATTATGGTTAATTGGATAAAACTGTGGGTGAATCATATATAATTGATTTAAGCAGGCAGAGTTAATGCTGCTGCAGTTAAAAAATCACCAAACAACCCAAAATAAATAAATCTGTTAGGACCGGTTTATAGTTTTGGATCAGGGCCTGCTCAGTAATAATCATGAGAAATGCAAATAATTTACTACCTCATAAACACTTTATATCAATACCATATCTATAATTTTCCCAACCAATATTAGACAGACCAACAAATAGCGATAGAAGATTTCTTCATGCAGGTGACAGCACTGCAAAAATTATGTTTAAATAAGTTAAAATGTCTTAAATTAAGTGTATTTACCAATGCAATGAGGACCTTTACTCTTAAAATAAGGTAATTAGATAACATACACTTGAAACAAGACAATTAAATTGTTTTTTTCTTATTTTAAATGTAAATTGTCTTTTTCCACTGGCAAAGTGTCTGCCTTACCTTCTCAATTCAAGAAAAAATGACTTATCTAGATTTTGATCTTTTCCAGTGAGAGTGCATCTTCTGCACTGATGCTAATATTGGTAACAACCTGCGCCAACTGCTAAAACCCCCTGGGAATAGTTTCCTCTTTTCCAGTTGTTCTGACTATGTTATTGAACATTATAGTTTTTCCATCCATCCATCCATCCATCCATCCATCCATCCATCCATCCATCCATCCATCCATCCATCCATCCATCCATCCATCCATCCATCCATCCGTTTTCTCCTGCGTAGTCTTGTCAGGGTCCCGGTGGGACGGGTGCCTATCTCGGGCAGTCAGTGGGCGAGAGGTGGGGTACACCCTGGACAGGTCGCCAGTCTGTTGCAGCACATTTTTATCTGAATGCTCAAAATCGAACAGACGGAAAAGTGGGGCAGAGAATTTTTTTCTCTTTTGATGGAAAGCGACAGCCTCACCTCACTGGAGGAGAAAATGCCCCTTTTTTATTTCTGTGTTGTTTAATTTTGTATTTGTTGTGATGAAATCAAATCCTTGACTGACAGAGTGGTCTGTAAACACACTTAAAATAAAACTGCCTCTCTCTGGTTCTGGTTCGGTTGTTTAAAATAAAAAAAAACAAATAAAGGTTCTCTGGCTTGTATCTCTGCTTCTTTTTCTGTCTGCTTCTGTCTCCTTGAACCGCAATCTGCCTCAGCAGATTGCCGCTCACACTGAGCCTGGTTCTTTCTTCCTGTTAAAAGGGAGTTTTTACTCTCCACTGTCGCTACAAGCATGCTTAGTGTGAGGGATTTCTGAAGAGTCAATGAGTCGATGCAATCAGCTGGTTTTCCTTAGATAGAAAACTTTAACCAATCCGACTGGATGATCTGATTGAATTGTCTCTGTAAAATGCCTTGAGATGACATGTGTTGTGAATTGGTGCTATAGAAACAAACTGAATTGAAATGAATTGAGTTAAAATAGTTTGGATTGGGCCTTTTTTTTTTTGTCTGAAATTTAAGTAGATACATTTCTGCTGCACGGTGGTACTGGGGAAAAAAGCTGCAGCTGGAAAGAGTTTGCATACAGTAGCAGCCATTTAAAATTTCCCTCTTTCTTTGATGGGCCCTTGGCTGGTCCTCTAAGATTCATTTTTTAAGCACCAATCTTTGTACTAAAATATTCTGTCATGATTTGTGGACATTAAAGGAATAGTACACCCAAAACATGATTAGCCTTCATTTTCTACTCACCCCCATGCTGAACAACACTCTGGAGTACTTTTTTGATATCTCAAATGCATGGAGATCTGGGAGGCTTCTTGCTGTCTGCTGACATTCAAATAATGGAGGTCTATGGTGACCGAGACAGAAAGGTCCATAAAAGTCCACCAAAAACATGTCAATACGGAAACCGCAGCAGACCAAACCAGATGAAAGTGCGCATTCAGCTCGGCAAAGAACTCATGCTCTTCCTCAACACTGAAGTCCTCAGACATTCTTCTTTCATTGTTTCTTTCTTTGCACAGGTAAACAGCACATTTCTTCTTCTACGCTTGCATTATCGGCAGAGCAGACGCTGAATGCGCACTTTCATCTGGTTTGGTCTGCCGCGGTTTCCGTAGACTCGTGAACGCGCTTTTAGAAAATCCTATACACTACTGTTTATGCTCTAAAAGCATTCTAAATGACTTCGATTCGAGTAAATTATGGACGCTACCCACTCAGGACACTTGGAATACATTGGACGAGCAGTATGGAGGAATATTGACACGTTTTTTGTGGACTTTTATGGACCTTTCTGCCTTGGGCGCCATAAACTTCCTTTATTTGCATGTCAGCAGACAGCAAGAAGCCTCCCAGATCTCCATGCATTTGAGATATCAAAAAAGTACTCCAGAGTGTTGTTCAGCATGGGGGTGAGTAGAAAATGAAGACTAATCATGTTTTGGGTGTACTATTCCTTTAAGAGCCAAAGAGAAGCGCCACCTGCTGGTCAGACCCTGTAGTTCAGTTAAAGGGTGGAGTCAGAGTATAAAAATATTCACATCCAGAAGAAAGGAGGGTTCAATCCAGTGGCTGGAAGTTGGCTGCCATTCGGCTGGCATTTAACTGGGAATGGTGATTTTGAATGGCTGCTACTGTATCATTAATAACAGCGACCTGAGTGAAGTTGCCCCCCCCACCTTCTTCAAATCAGACAAAATTAGTGTCAAACGTTTGTGCTACGTTTGTGCTGGTTTGTGCAGCAAAAATTGACGTTGGTTGACCTTTTGACCTTTACATTTTCATTAATATCTTCTCAGCCAAAGCAGCACAAACGACAAATTTTGCTGCACAAACCAGCACCAACGGAGCTGAGTTAATTGGCACCCATTTCGTCTGATTTGAAGAAGGTGTGGGGGGGTCTGGTTGACCTTTGATGACCTCTACAAATATTTCTTTATATCTTTAAAATGATAGCGGCATAAAACAAAAATTTTTGCTGCACAAACCAGCGCAAATGTAGCACAAACGTTTGGCTGGTTGACCTTTTGACCTTTACATTTTCATTAATATCTTCTCAGCCAAAGCAGCACAAATTTTTGCTGCACAAACCAGCACATCCAGAGTATGAAATGATATCTGTGTACCTTTGGAATAGTGTATTTATCCAGGACGGTGTCTTTGTTTGCTGTTCGGGGCACATTGAGGGGAATGATGTTGCCCATCCTCTGTATCTCATGGATGACTGCGTTGGTGTAGGGCAGGTTATCTCTATCAGACATAGAGGGCTGCCTGGATGGACCAATCACAGCGTCTATCTCAGCCTGGACACGTTCTGCACACAGAGAGAACATCACAAGCTGCTCCAGTGGTTCATTGAAATGCCCAATGAATACCATCTGAACCAAAGCAGGACTGACAGGTTGGTGAGTGGTGTTAGCTAGATGCTTTTAGAGACACAGTTCGACTTCTAACACACCTTGTATGTCAGGATAGTAGATCATGTAAAGGAGACCCCAGTGTAAAGTGGTTGTGGTGGTTTCAGTTCCAGCACCAAACAGGTCCATGATGCAAAAACACAAATTCGTATAATCAAAACCTGAATCTGTGTCTTCTTGCTGTAAAACAGGAGCCAAATGAGGAAACTAGAGTCAGATGAGAACATTTGTTTGCATGTATTAGAAGAGCATCAGCACAGTAGAATAAAGTAAACCTCTCACCCCTCCCATCTCTATGAGGAAGGAATCAATATAGTCTCTAGGTGATGATGGGTCAAGGTTCTCTTTGTGTTCTCTAATCTTGATTTGTATAAAATCAATTAACTCCTTTGTGATAGAGAATAACTTCTGATGGGCCCCAGGCAGCCGCTTCATCAGCCAAGGCATTATGTTATAAATCTACAAGGAAAGAAAACACCAGATCAATTAAAACAGAGATCCATTTTGTTGTTTATATCAGAGGTCCATTGATTTATTTTGTCTGATTACATTTGAATTCGTTAATTCAAAAGGATACCCAAGTATAAGTCCAGATCTCCTTTAGAGAGATCAAATAGTTAATTGGTAAGCATAGTCTGTTGGCTGAGAAGCCCATGATAAACGTTTTGGAGAGATCTTTAGTGTAATGAGAAGGTCGACTCTTCTTGTGGATATGTCTGTTTAAAGTTCAGTGGGAAGCACTTTGGGCGAGGTCTGTCACAAAAAAAAAAAAATAATGTCCAGCATTCAATAAACCTCCAAGGAGCTTCTTAGAACTGAAAGTACAGGGCTGCGATCTGATCTGAACTGGGAGGAACTGTACTCCCGATTTGCCATTTTTTGTCATAAAAATATTATATTCAGATCACTTTTAACAGCTTTTTACAAGTTTAAATTCATTCAAACCAAAGTCGTTGATACGTTGTTTTCTGTTGTGCAAAAAGCAATGTGTTCTGGGCCTTACTGATTGTTTATGTCCTGTCTGTTTATTGCGCAACAGACAATACAATAAACAAAACAATAAACATATTTTTTAAAGCAGTCATAACCTGTTATTTTATTTATACAATCCTGTACCGGGCAGCCTTTTAAAGTTGCTTTTTGTATCTCTGCTTCTGTCTCCTTGAACCCTAGTCGGCCTCAGCAGATGGCTGCTTACACTGAGCCTGGTTCTGCTGGAGGTTTCTTCCTGTTAAAAGGGAGTTTTTCCTCTCCACTGTCGCTACAAGCATGCCTAGTGTGAGGGATTGCCTTCCAGTCAATGAGTCGATGCAATCATCTGTTTTTCCTTAGATAGAAAACTTTGAATGGTGAACTGTAAAGTTCCTTTAGATGACGTATTTTGGAAATTGGCGCTATAGAAATAAACTGAATGGAACTGAAGTAAGGTGTTCCTTCCTGTTCTGTCTTGGTCCGGACAACTTCCTTCCTCCATGAGGTCAACCAGAGCTGCTTCTCTGTGGTTTAACTCCTGGGGTTTGGCTCATCACAGGCAATTTTCCATGGATGAGGCAGCAGTGGTGATTCAGAAGCGGTCTGGGAGAATGCTGGGCGCACTTCACCCATCACTTAAGTCCCTTCCCCGAAAAAAGTTAAAAACTTAAAGTTTTTTTCATAGAAAAAAAATCTGAATTCTGAATATATATGTTGTGTTTTTTTTATATTTTTTAGAACTATGTAATAATCAAAAACATTGTTTTTATTCAGTTGAAACCAGTTCATTGTATCTAACAGGCTACTACAGGTGTGAAAAAGAACTTTTCTTGAAAGAATACCTTCAGAAAAACAAGAAGCTTGTAAAAAAAAAGTGATACAAATGTTGTATTAAAATAGACCATAAGTGGAATTAAAGATGAGCTTTTAAGAGAACTCACCTGCACTGCCATGCTTCCCTGTAAACGAACAGTCTCATTGATTCTTTGGAGAATCACCTGCTGCTGCATGTCACTGTACTCAAATCTGTTCCCAAAGACCAAACAGCAGATAATGTTGGACACAGCATTGTTCACAAGTGTCTGGGAATTGAAGGGCTGGCCTGCAACAGAGAGAAAACTTCTACTAAGCTTATAAACATTTATTAAAAAAAAGCAAACAAAATAAATAAATGCAAATGGATTTATGATAATTTATTCTGCATTATCAAACCAATGTGACAGCTATGCTTGGTGCCTGTTATTGGAAACCCTCTGAATGTTTTTTGGTTTATCAGATTTCTTTTCATGATCTGAGCTTCCTATGCAGTTACTAGTTATACTGATTTATATTCTAATCTTGCTCACTCCTCACAGATCACCCTCCCTTCTGTTGCTTGGTTTCGTTAGTCTGTTACCAGATCTGTGCACCCTGGCCAAACTATTTCTTTGACGTTTTGCCTCCTACACTGCAGAACCATCAAAAATAATTTGTCATATAATTTAAATGTTAGTTTATATAGATAAACTATATTACACACATTCTTCTCCATACAGGAGGATATATTTCAAGTATTTATTAAATTTGATTTGAAGTATTGAGCCAGATAACTCTATATATATTGAGGTTATCTTTTTACAAATGAACAGAAACAAAAACTTCAAATATATCTCTTTAGGTAATAAATTGATGGGAAAATCAAGTATTCCTTATCTTTTCTAATTGAATAAGTTGAACCCATATTTGAACATTGGTTTATTTATTAAATGAATCCTACAACTACTTGGGTTTCACTATATGTGCTTTTTATCTTATGCAACACAGTTACAAGTTATAGAAGAAACAGATTTCCAAATGATTATAAAAATATTAATGCAGTTCTTTGCCTTTATGTTCAGCGAAAGCCTCTGTGAGGTACTGGCACTCTTGTTGGATGGATCTCTCCATGGTTTTCTTGCCCAGGCCAAAGTTTCGGAGTGTTTGAAGAGCAAATCTCCTTTGTGTCTTCCATAAATGACCACTGGAACCTACAAGACCTGAAAACAAAAACAGTGTTGCATAGAAGGTGAATGAAGGACTTGTTGTATTAAGGAACATCTTTATACCTTTTTTTGTGTGAAGATATATAATGACTTTTTATCAAAACCTGCCAGATTAGGCATATGTTTCCAAAAATAGCACCTTTCTTTCCAATTAAGTCTTCAAAGATTGGGATGCCGGGGCGATCTACAAAGTTCTCTCCTTGCTGGACCAAAGCCTCCCTTGTGAACTTGTAGCCACTAATGATGACAATTCTTTCACCAAAGAGGCAAATGCTGAAAACATCCCCGTACTTTTCTGCAAACTGAGCATAAAGAATGGGTGAATCATTCAACACAAAGAAGAAAAAAAATCTCAAGAGACTGAGGACACTTTTGTTTCCTGCTCCCGGGCAGCATTCCATCCAACATAATGAGGAGTAGAGTTCCCATGTGTGCTGTTACTATCCTGTGAAAAGTTCAAGTTCACTTCCTGCACATTCTTTTCAAACTAAACTTTGCTTTAAACTGTTGTGTGCTTGGAAAAATATAAATTGAAGTGTTAAAAATCTAAAGAAAACTTGACAGGTTAAAAACTTACACTACTACTACTCACCAATTTAACATGTTTAGCTCTAAAACATTTAAATGCACCACTCCAATGTCTAAGAGAAAAATATTTTATGAAAAATTTTTAAAGTGTTACCACTGTACAGAAGCCTGCCATATGATAGAAACATTTACACTGTGCGCATACAATTATTATTATCATTTTCCTAATCCCTGACTGATCCTTTTTAATCTAGCATGTATTATAGTATAGATTAAATTCATCATCCAGCTGCTGCTCTGCAGAATTCTCTCCCCAGGAGCTGAATCATGCCATCTAGCGTAAAATCACGCAGCTTATTCAAATCACGCGAGAATGTGTACAAAACAACAAAGATGGCGCCGGCAACGCTTGTAGGTCGTTTTCAACGAATGTCGGTGATTTTAAAGTAATTTTGAGTGATAAATATTTTTTTTTTGCGATCATTGCACTTGCCCAGCAGGCAAATGCAATGAAATTTGTACTCTCCCGACAATAAAGACTACTTGCCCCGGAAGATCGGGCGATGGTTAACATCGAGCCCTGTATATACAGTACATAAATTGATCATTTGATACGTTTTTATTAAAATAGCTATTTTATCTTTGATTTCACTGAAGACTCTTAGATGGCTTGCAGAGACACAATTTCCTCTTTACCCCATATAATACAGAATCTAGTTCTGAAAAAGAGCATCAATTCTGTACTTATCATCTTTAATGTTAGTATATTTATGTGTTTAATAACCACAAAACATTTTTTATTTATTTTTTCCAATATTGCACTTAAATATCACTGCTGCCACCATCTGTATTAGAGGGGAAAAAATGGTAGGGGTGGCCAACGATTGGCAAAGGGTGGCCATGGCCCCCCATCTAGCTCCGCCCCTGGCTAATCCGTAACCTCTGCTTAAACCGAAGCCAAGAGTAACGAGTAACGTTTGTTTTAAAATGTAAGGAAAGAACAGACACTTGTGTGAAAATGTAATGAGTAGAAGTCAGAAGAAGGAAAAAAAAGTAAGTAATGGAGTGACGTATAAATACCTAAAAAGTGTAATTAAGTACAGCAACGAGGTATTTGTACTTAGTAACTTGACACCTCTGTTTATTTATCAGTGACAGTCTCATTTCCATGAACTACCTCAGTAAACTGCAGGTACATCCGGGAGGGATCGATGCGGTGGAGATCTCCGATGAACGGCAGCGACCAGGGTCCGGGGGGGAAGTTTCTGGGCACCCTGTTCTTAAAAACATTCGCCGCCAGCAGAAAAACAACCACAAACAGGAGGAGAGCCCTGCTGTCAACCCAATCCAAGCCGAGAACCCGGGAGAGACACTCCATCTTCTGACTAAACTGAAGCTGATTACCATGGATTTACTCTTTAAACATGTAAACACGCAGTAAAAAAAAAAACCCGAAGCACGACGTAGTACTAGTGCTGTCTTTCAAAATAAAAGCTGCAAACTCTATTAATAAAAAAAAAAATCATCTAACTTCTAAAAATTCTTAAAATAATAACAATAACATATTGACGTCATCTATTACATTAAATTAATCAGATTTTCTTTTAATTTATTACAGGGGCAATTTTCAATCCTAATTTATACTGTGACGTCATGATCATACGATCGGTTGTGTTGCAACGATTTATCATAAAATAATAAAAGATACGCAAGTAGAGCGCCAATGCAATTATTAACACATCCTACACTTTGAACTTTACCAAGCGCAAACTTAAAATGACAGATTTCCTCCATAAATGGGCAATAATCACTGACTTTAACCCAAGAAGCAGAGTTCACATGGACTGAATGCTTCAGCAACAGGCAGAGAGAAAAAGAGCAAAGTACAAACATTTAAAACAAGTGAATCTTTGTCATATGGAAGATAATTAGGGCCACTGAAAAAAAAAAAAACAACAAAAAAAGTTAACTGATTTTTAAATATTATTTCAGTTTTATATAGGGAAAAAGTCAGAATCCTGACTTTAATCTCAGAATTCATAATTTTTTTTCCTCAGAATTCTGACTTTAATCTGATAAACTTTTGGGTCTTAATGTAGATGGGCATTGTGAAGGCAGAGATGTGGAGCACTCAGCTTCTCTGACAAAGATGTCAGTTGTTTGGGAGGGCCAGTAAACAAATGATGGAATTAGGTCAGGAATTCCCAAACTTTACCATGCCAAGGCCCCCCTACACCAGTACATTGTCAGCTGAGGCCCCCCCTCATATGAAACATGCGTAAACACTCATGTGTAAGCTACAGCGACAGAATAAAAAAATTAGTGAACAAACCACCTAAATAAAACCACATTTATTTTGTAAAGATGAAGTCACAATTATATTTTATTAAACTTTAATTCATTAATTTAATTTAATGAATAAAATATAACAATAACATAGGCCCACCACTTTAATAACCTTTTTTTAAACCATGAACCTCTTTATACGTTGCAAAAACAGAAAGATTTGTGAGCAAAATAAAAGTTTGTCCCAAATTAAACATGCATGCATTTTTTATAATGCAGGCCTAACAACAAATGTAGGCTACATGAGAGATACATAGACATACCATGCTAATGGGAGCAGTGGGCCTGATGGCTTCTACAGTTTGTCCAGTCTGGGCTGGATGTCTGTCAGAGCAACATGCATGTCATTCTCCACATTCAAACATGATCTGTGGTTAGTTCTCAGTACTTTTAAAGTGGAAAAGCCAGACTCACACAAGTAAGTGGTTGCAAATGGAAGGAAACATTTCAGAGCCCTTTCAGCTACGGTGGGAAACTCTTGTCTTACATACAGCAAGAAATTATTATTTGTAAGCTTTAGGTGAATGGTTTTCATAATGCAGTTATACCCAGACCGGAATATTTAAATTATTTTTATTCAATAAAATAGTTTCATGTATAACTTTTTTTTTTCTCCATCTTCCTGCGGCCCCCACTTTGAAAACCAGGGAATTAGGTGACTTTTTACGTCCCTGAGGGATCCCTGGTGATGCTATTTAATTAATGGAAGAGCAGAAGGTGTTTAAAACAAGAAAGCTAGTTTAGTCTCTAAAACAGTCATGGCTACGGCTTGATGCTAACATGTTTGTTAGCTGACAAGTTCAGTCAGAATTCTGAGAAAAAACTCATATTCTGAGATTGGTGTCAGAATGAAGAATTTTTTGTCACATTATACTGAAATAAAATTTAAAAATCAGTTAACCTTTTTTATTTCTTCAGTGCCCCTAATCCTCTTCCGTATTGTCAGAATGGCAATACAAAGATATGCAAACATAATTAAAGCATATCATAAATACATAGCCTGCTCGTTGATGTGGAAAGTTTCTTTGGAAATTAAAACTATTTTGAAATAGATTAATTAGTCTTAGCCCTTAGATTAATTAATTACTCTTACATTAATAACTCTTAGCATCTTATTTTTCCAAAGCAATCCTGGTTTTGCCAATTTGTAAAGCAGAGGCCGCAGAGTAGCCTACCTACTTTGTTCAGGCCTAAAGGACAGATTATACTTCTGCAACTCGCTAGAACTTCGGCCAATGGTCACAAGAACTTCGGCAACTTCGGAGTGTTTATTTACCAAAACAGCAATGCCGCGTCTGCAAGATTTCACGATCACAGGGATGAATCTAGAGTTGCTAGACATCGAAGAGGAACAGGTACTGTTAATGGAGTTGGCAAAAAGACAAAGGAGGACTCATAGGTTGTCCAATATAGTTGTTCCTTGGTTTTTAAAAATGGCGCGCCCCTGCAACGAATCGAGAAGGACGACCACACAGACAGCCAGAAAGGCATACCAATGACCAATCACAGCTGCTTTTTTTCTGCGCACTTCTGCTTGAGGTCTGCGTGGGTTCGCGACCGTCCAACGCATTGTCAGGATTTTTTGGAGGTGCACGATGACAGTTGCAGAACCTCTACACAGAGACAGATTTGACGGCTGCATAGGCTATGCGTCAGAAGCATAAATTGGCCTTAAAGGAATAGTACACCCAAAACATGATTAGCCTTCATTTTCTACTCACCCCCATGCTGAACAACACTCTGGAGTACTTTTTTGATATCTCAAATGCATGGAGATCTGGGAGGCTTCTTGCTGTCTGCTGACATTCAAATAATGGAGGTCTATGGTGACCGAGACAGAAAGGTCCATAAAAGTCCACAAAAAACGTGTCAATATTCCTCCATACTGCTCGTCCAATGTATTCCAAGTGTCCTGAGTGGGTAGCATCCAGAATTTACTCTAAACGAAGTCATTTAGAATGTTTTTAGAGCATAAACAGTAGTGTATAGGATTTCCTGAAAGAGCGCACATGCGCGATCACGACACTACGGAAGCCGGCAGAACAAACCAGATGAAAGTGCGCATTCAGCGTCTGCTCTTCCGATAATGCAAGCGTAGAAGAAGAAATGTGCTGTTTACCTGTGCAAAGAAAGAAACAACGAAAGAAAAATGTCTGAGGACTTCAGTGTTGAGGAAGAGCATGAGTTCTTTGCCGAGCTGAATGCGCTGGTTTGGTCTGCCGGCTTCCGTAGCGTCGTGAACGCGCATGTGTGCGCTTTCAGGAAATCCTATACACTACTGTTTATGCTCTAAAAACATTCTAAATGACTTCGTTTCGAGTAAATTCTGGATGCTACCCACTCAGGAAACTTGGAATACATTGGACGAGCAGTATGGAGGAATATTGAAAAATTTTTTGTGGACTTTTATGGACCTTTCTGTCTCGGGCACCATAGACCTCCATTATTTGAATGTCAGCAGACAGCAAGAAGCCTCCCGGTGGAGGTTTACAGTTTCAAAGGTAATTTAGAGATTGATAAGATAAACCAGATCTACCACTAGGAGAAATGTCACTGATAACTGCAAGTCATTTGGGTGAAAGACTATCCATGACAGAGTTGAATGAGTGTAATCAGTCAGAACTTGCCCCTGCTAAAACCCTCAAGTGTAATGGTATTCACATATATCAATAAACTGAGTTATAATTAAGCTATTTACCAGAAGCCTCAAAGGTCTACTTTGCTTATGCCTTAAAGGAATAGTACACCCAAAACATGATTAGCCTTCATTTTCTACTCACCCCCATGCTGAACAACACTCTGGAGTACTTTTTTGATATCTCAAATGCATCTGGAGATCTGGGAGGCTTCTTGCTGTCTGCTGACATTCAAATAATGGAGGTCTATGGTGCCCGAGACAGAAAGGTCCATAAAAGTCCACAAAAAATGTTTCAATATTCCTCCATACTGCTCGTCCAATGTATTCCAAGTTTCCTGAGTGGGTAGCATCCAGAATTTACTCGAAACGAAGTCATTTAGAATGTTTTTAGAGCATAAACAGTAGTGTATAGGATTTCCTGAAAGCACGCACATGCGCGTTCACGACGCTACGGAAGCCGGCAGACCAAACCAGCGCATTCAGCTCGGCAAAGAACTCATGCTCTTCCTCAACACTGAAGTCCTCAGACATTTTTCTTTCGTTGTTTCTTTCTTTGCACAGGTAAACAGCACATTTCTTCTTCGACGCTTGCATTATTGGAAGAGCAGACGCTGAATGCGCACTTTCATCTGGTTTGGTCTGCCGGCTTCCGTAGCGTCGTGATCGCGCATGTGCGCTCTTTCAGGAAATCCTATACACTACTGTTTATGCTCTAAAAACATTCTAAATGACTTCGTTTAGAGTAAATTCTGGATGCTACCCACTCAGGACACTTGGAATACATTGGACGAGCAGTATGGAGGAATATTGAAACATTTTTTGTGGACTTTTATGGACCTTTCTGTCTCGGGCACCATAGACCTCCATTATTTGAATGTCAGCAGACAGCAAGAAGCCTCCCAGATCTCCAGATGCATTTGAGATATCAAAAAAGTACTCCAGAGTGTTGTTCAGCATGGGGGTGAGTAGAAAATGAAGGCTAATCATGTTTTGGGTGTACTATTCCTTTAAGGCATAAGCAAAGTAGACCTTTGAGGCTTCTGGTAAATAGCTTAATTATAACTCAGTTTATTGATATATGTGAATACCATTACACTTGAGGGTTTTAGCAGGGGCAAGTTCTGACTGATTACACTCATTCAACTCTGTCATGGATAGTCTTTCACCCAAATGACTTGCAGTTATCAGTGACATTTCTCCTAGTGGTAGATCTGGTTTATCTTATCAATCTCTAAATTACCTTTGAAACTGTACACCTCCACTGACTTACAGCAGCCTGAATTTCACAATAGTTTTTATCTATTTGTTTTTATGAATATATTTTTACTTTTATTTGAATCGACATATTTCCATTTTGCCTGCCATGGAGCTGGTAAACATTAACTTTTAAAGAACAGATAAGCGATCATCACATGAGTGTCCGTGGCTTTCAAAACAGAATTAGACCTCTAGCCTTTCATTTAAAGGGAAAACAGAAATTTGCTCATAAAAATTAAACACCAGAAACTGTGGTTTGATCATTCTTAATCCCAAAACTGTTTCTTTAGTCATTTGTGGTAACTATTACCACCCCTCAGATAATTTACAACATGCTTCTTTTTAAAGAAGTCAACATCAGATTGAAATTGTTTAACTGTAAAATCTTAAAAGGAAGTGATGATCATATTTTAGAGGATCCCTAACAGGGAATATACAGTATATACAGTAGGTACAGGAATTAATCAGACTTCTTTAAAATTTGCCATTTGTTTCATTGCAGCCATTTGCTAATATAAAAAAAATCCTATTAAAAAAACACCCCATTTTGACCGAAATCAGTTAGAAAATTCTGTTCATTTATTAAAGAACACGAACTGACATCACTTGTTATAAGTATTTAGACCATTTGCTGTGACATCTATTCTAAACCACATAATGTCCATTTCTTCTGATCCTCCTTGAGATGGTGAAGGCTCTTAGTCATCCAGGTCATAGTCATTCCGAAAAAAATAAAAACAATCCACTGGACTTCAACCTTTCAGACACTTAGATGGGTATGGGGCATTGCAGTCTAACAAAACAAGCCAACGACCCCCATTCCAAATGGGTGGACCCCTTCCTCGGTTCCAATTTGCATGTTTTCAAAACAAAAACAAGCCTTTGTTGGGCTACTGTATAAAACCTCCAACTCAATGCTATTCCTGACATTTTGAATAGAAAAAGCTTCCTGGATAGGAAGCGAAACGTCTTAAAACTTGGAAATCAAGTCCAGTGGATTGTTTTTAAATTTTTTCGGGATGGCTCTACTCCTTTGTTGGAGTCCTGTCCAAGGAGCTTTGAGGCAGAATTGTGGCAAGGTACAGATCTGGCCAATGTTACAAAATGATGTAGTGTGATATTTGGGTTTTTCTTTTTTGATAAATTTGCAGAAATGTCTTAAAGGAATAGTACACCCAAAACATGATTAGCCTTCATTTTCTACTCACCCCCATGCTGAACAACACTCTGGAGTACTTTTTTGATATCTCAAATGCATCTGGAGATCTGGGAGGCTTCTTGCTGTCTGCTGACATTCAAATAATGGAGGTGCCCAGCGCTCGAGGCAGAAAGGTCCATAAAAGTCCACAAAAAACGTTTCAATATTCCTCCATACTGCTCGTCCAATGTATTCCAAGTTTCCTGAGTGGGTAGCATCCAGAATTTACTCGAAACGAAGTCATTTAGAATGTTTTTAGAGCATAAACAGTAGTGTATAGGATTTCCTGAAAGCGTGCGCCGGCGCGTTCACGACGCTACGGAAGCCGGCAGACCAAACCAGATGAAAGTGCGCATTCAGCGTCTGCTCTTCCAATAATGCAAGCGTAGAAGAAGAAATGCGCCGTTTACCTGTGCAAAGAAAGAAACAACGAAAGAAAAATGTCTGAGGACTTCAGTGTTGAGGAAGAGCATGAGTTCTTTGCCGAGCTGAATGCGCTGGTTTGGTCTGCCGGCTTCCGTAGTGTCGTGATCGCGCATGTGCGCGCTTTCAGGAAATCCTATACACTACTGTTTATGCTCTAAAAACATTCTAAATGACTTCGTTTCGAGTAAATTCTGGATGCTACCCACTCAGGACACTTGGAATACATTGGACGAGCAGTATGGAGGAATATTGAAACGTTTTTTGTGGACTTTTATGGACCTTTCTGCCTCGAGCGCTGGGCACCTCCATTATTTGAATGTCAGCAGACAGCAAGAAGCCTCCCAGATCTCCAGATGCATTTGAGATATCAAAAAATTACTCCAGAGTGTTGTTCAGCATGGGGGTGAGTAGAAAATGAAGGCTAATCATGTTTTGGGTGTACTATTCCTTTAATATCAATTTTTTTCCTGTAGAGTTTGGGTGCTAAATTTGCAAAGATGAGAAATAAAACTTTTGATTGTAGAGAAATGCTGCCGTTTCTCATTAGCATGTGTAAAATCCATCTCTGCAATTTTGTGATTCAGTCATTTTCTGATCAAAATTTTAAATGCTATCCAATGATCTCTTAAATGCAACTAATCTGTAGAGCATTATGGTACAAGGAACGTAAAAAAAATAGTTATTTCTCGCTTAAGGGGGAATTAGTTAAAAACAATGTTTTAAATTCACTTCACCCTAGGTTGCTTTAGACAATAATCCCATGTAAAATATTTTTCACTCAAATCATTAAAACACTTATTACATAACCTTTTTTTTAGCAGGTTAGACATGCGAACATTGCACACAACTAATGTAAAGAATTTTGTACTAATATTTGAGAAAATGTTTGGTCATTTAAAATAAAACTTCAGAGATATTATTCTAGACTTATTATTATAGATAGACTTATTCTGCTACTTTTTCCATCATAACTAAAGGATTTCAATGACGATACTATGGAAGCTCATTGGTAGAATTCCCTTATGACAGAAAGAAGGCCACGATTCACACCATTTTATCATCCGGAGGGGGGAAACATTTAATTACAAAAGCAAATTCATACATCTGTCTTAAAAACTTCATACATTCAGCACTGCATCGTCACATCTCAGTTATAATTCCCCCGAAACTCTCATGTCTTCTCAGTTGTTTTATAGTCTCAACATCGCATTACGTAACTGCACATGCACAGGAATATCATGTCGAAAGCTTACTGGAATTCACGTGTGCTGGACGACGCCAGTGGTTGCTTTGACACTCGGAGGAATGTTTATACAGATGTTCTCTGTTTATGCCAAACCTCTTAATATATCATCTAATGGCGTACGAATAAGGCATTAGGGACTTTATTATTGACCTCCAGCATGTACTGTTTTGTTGATTAGTAAGTATAGGGCCACGTGTAAGGATATATAAGACAATAAAACTGCTTCTACAATACCAAAGGCATTTTATGACAATAGTGATCAAAGCATTTGATTCTTTTGTGCTCAGTGTGATTTACAGCAAAGTACCTGATTAAAGTCTTTACAACTTAACTTTTTTTTTCACTAACAGGGTCTTTGATTTCAGAGGCAATGCAATAGATGGAGGAACACTGTCAACGACTCTTGTGGTTTAACGTGGTACAGCACAGAGACGATAAGGTTTAGGACCATGAGTTGCTCCTAATTTGTACTCCAGGCTGGGCGGCTCTCCTGGGGGATGTGAGATTTTAAACCTCTGAAGGAGGGAAGTGAAAAAGAGGAATAACTCCATCCTGGCCAGCTGCCCCCCAAGACACACACGTTTACCTGAAAACACAAATTACAATCCTCAGTTTTACAGAAATAGAATCAGACCTGTAAATTCAAAAACAGGTATTGCCCTCATGGGGTACAGTCATTGGCAAGTACCTGGTTCGATACCCAAAGCCTCCACTCTGGGCTCTTGAGCAAAACCGTCAACCCCTGATTGCTCCCCGGGCGCCACACAGTAGCAGCCCTCTGCTCACCAAAAGGGTGGGTTAAATGCAGAGTGAATTTCCCAATTTTGGGCCAATAAAGGGATTTACATTACATAATAGTTGTTATGGGTTCGGAAATTAGCAGGAATATTAATCTGTGAGGGTCTGATTAGGGTGGATCATTCCATCATTCCTCTTTACAAATGATGGACCCTGTCTTTTTGCAGAACAGGGAAGAACAAGACGTAAAGGCCTGGAGCTCCGCTGTAGATTCGGTGCTTGGCATCCCTGCAACGTTGCTTCTGTGCCAGAGTTAGGCAAGTACACCCTATCTGTATGAGCTTTGGCTTCAGCTAGAGGAGGAGCAAGGAGCAAAAGCGAAGGGGGTGAGAAAGGTTCAACACACAGGGTTTACCAAAATGGAGGAACAGATCATTGCTAGCCAGTACTGAGAACCAGGAGGTCTTTTGAAACACAAGCTTGAAGGAGACAGAGAATGAAACAGGAACAGGATCCAGTAAGCGAATCTCCCAAAAGGGAGCGCAGGACAAGGTAGGCAGAGTTACATACACAGGAGAGGAGCGAGAGCTTTACCAGTGGTAGATAACACTCAGGTGCTGAAGTGCTAGCTCCCTTTAACCCTCTGGTGATAACGTCTGATGGTAACTACTTACGGACGCTCACCCAGCAGCCTCTCTGATGCCACATAGTGGTGGAAATTTAACCGAAATTCTCAAAAATACCAATGGAAACAATTTTTCTAGTCTAATGTGAATGGGAGTGTTGGTCTAGAGGTTAGAGCAGTGCACTTGTGATCTGAGAAGGTTGCAAGTACTCGGTTTGATCCCCAAAGCCTCCACTCTACTCCCCTATTGGCCCAAAATGGAGAATTTCCCCATTTTGGGCAAATAAAGGGATTTACATTACATAAGAGTTTTAAAGGGCTGGTTATACTCCCCGCAGCAGTGTGTCGCAGTCTTGTCGCATATATTTTTGATTTATGCCCAATATTGAAGCGTGGTCTGCATTATGTTATTCCACGCCACAAGGCAAGAGGGACAATCAGGAACAAGCTATGGGTTTAGATACGGCCAAGGCGGTAAGGAATTCGAGGCAAATTTGTCCAACAACGGAGGGACATGAGGGTGAAAAAGAGCGGGTATCCAGTTGGAAAAAGGGTCCCAGCGTTCTTGCGCATATCGCACTTCTAACTAGTCCAACTTCATTAGTCGTTTTCCACAATGGCGGTCATAAAAACAAAACAAGCCGATAAAGTAACAAACAGGAAATATGCATAGTGTAGAGCAGATGTAGATTTGACCAATCACATGTCTCCTGTCTGCGGCACTTTCTGCGGTCACCTACAATTTTTGAGAGTTGCACCAGAGTGTCTGCAGCAGGGGTGGAGGCACATTTGTATTCACTGCAACTCCCACGCAGAAGACCTGGTTTCTGAGTATATCAGCCTTAAGGAGACCTGACAAACCCTGCATGCTGCTGTAGTTCTTTGCAGCTGTCCAACAAAAGGGAGCTTAGGGGAATTCCTTCTCACCTTCCCTACCAACTTCCTAATAGTATGTGAAGGGTCAACAGTGGAATGTAGTTTTTGTATAAAATAAAAAAGTCTGAGTCTACAAGAAAGAACGTATCATATGCAGAGTGAATTTCCCCACCGTGGGACAATAAAGGGATTTACATATACAGATTTGAAACAACCTACTAACCTGCAGAAAAAGGCATGAAGGCTTCTCTCCTTCTAAATTTCCCATCCTTGTATAGAAAGTGCTGAGGGTTGAAGGACTGTGGAGTCTCCCACATCGACTCATCATGGAGGACAGAGTGGAGTGAAGGAATGACCAAGGTGCCCTGAAGATTGAAAATAGACACAAGGTTCAGTTTCACCTAAAATCATGTTGCATTTTTTTACTCATTTCTTATCAGTGCAAGGAGTAAAAAAAGTCTGGTAGCCAATAAATATCTATTTGAAGACTGTACCAATTTATTGCCAACATATGGAGCAGCTTCAGTAGTTAAAGGATACACACACAATACCTTCCAGGTATTTATACAGTATTCTTTGAGTATTTTCATCGATAAAGAAATATTTCAAAAATATTTCATGAGGAGAAAAGGATTAAATATATTTATTTAAAGTAATCAGTTAATATTTTAAATGTCTCTTTCTGTTTTCTTCAGTGTGTTGGTCAGCCAGGGAAAAGGATTTTGCCTGTGTGATGAGTAAAAAGAATGTAAGAAACTCCAAACACCCCAGTAATAATGCACCTTTGGAATTGAGTATTTATCCAGGGTGGTGTCTTTGGTCGTCTTGTGGGCCACATTGAGAGGAATGATGTTTCCCATCCTCTGTATCTCATGGATAACAGCATCAGTGTAAGGCATGTTTTCTCTGTCAGCCACAGTGGGTTGTCTGGATGGTCCAATCACAAAATCAATCTCAGCCTGGACACGTTCTGAACACAATGGAAACTCAATGTCTAGTGGGAAAATTACATTTTACAGTGAAACAAAATGGATCAGGTAAAGTGTACCAAATGTTCCTCAAACACCTTGTATGTCAGGATAATAAATCATGTACAAGAGCCCCCAGTGTAACGTAGTGGTGGTGGTTTCAGTTCCACCAGCCAAAAGGTCAAGAGTGCAAGATGACAAGTTGAACAGATCAAACCCAGAATCTTTGTCTTCCTTCTGTCAAAGACACAAAAGACAAAGGTAACAACAGGTTCACATATTTCCACGTAGATGCTCATTATATTAAGGGAGTTTGTTCCTTCACTCTCTGCAACCATTGTGAAAGCGTAGGAGGTTTGTAAGAGATCCATTGAAGAAGAACACACTGTCTGGCACCAAAGAGAAGAACATCTAGCAGTCCCCACCTATAAGAATTTAAGTTCAGTGCAGGGTGTAAACCAAGGATACAAGACAGTGGGTGTAGGAGCCAATTATCCTTTGGTGTTTGTCGCCACGAGGGGGCATATGTAATTTTTGAGTTCTGAGTGTCTGATGAGGGGATGGGTTATTTAAGGTCAACCATCAATTCTGTTCAGGTGTGGTTAATAGGCTGAGGCAAACAGTTTTCTACTGTGCTTGGTTGGATTTATGTCGTATTTATGTGGATCTTGAAGGAAAACAGTAAGATAATGGACTTGTGCTGAAAATAAATGACTTTGTTTCATGTCAAATGGAAGATCGGCATTCTAAATCTTAATTTAGCGCACGTAAAACCAATGCCTTCCAACAGAAACCACCAGTAGCCCAAAATATAGGATTTTAGCCGCTACATTTAGGTAGAAAACTTCCTCGTTCGGAAGATCCACCGATCCTGCTGTATTGGGATTCTTTGTGGCAGACAAGTAAAGCCGCACAGAACCAGGCAATTGGAGCCGCCGGACAGTACACCTGACGTCGGTACCGGACCCGCAGAGCAGCGGTCGGGACACCTGACGTCGGTACCGGACACCTGACGCCGGAACCGGACCCGCAGAGGAGCGGTCGGGACACCTGACGTCGGTACCGGACACCTGACGTCGGAACTGGACCCGCAGAGGAGCGATCTGGACATCTGACGTCGGAACCAGAATCGAAGCCGCACAGGAGCAATCGACTCTGCACGCTTGAGAACAGAGCTGCATGGATTGTGCTATTGGAGCTACTGAGATTCGTAGCAGCCGAAATCGGAGCGCAGATCATCAATGCCGGCCAACGCATCATTGGGGTATGTGAGTCAGCGCTGATATTTATGAATGGCCATTATTATTAGATTATGTGTGCACACAAAGGTTCAAACTTAAATCCAATGCATTGGTAACAGACTGAAGACCGCTTAAAGCAAAGAGAGCTCTCTATAAACAAACAATCTACAATTTGCGAATAAATAAATAAGCTTATAAACTGTCGGCCATTATGGCAGAAGAGGAAAACATTGACCTGAATCAGGAGGGTCAAATTAACATTGTGGGTCAAGAGGAAAATCCTCAATGGGAGACTGAAAAAAGACAGGTGAAATTAACAGCCAAGGCTTTGTTGGTGAAAATTCATAACTTAGAAAGTGAACGAAAAACAAAGTTAAATAAGCTCACAAAGTTAAGACAAACTATTACAGTGTTGAAAAATGAAAAAGGGTGTGTGAATGATATTAAGGGAGAATTTAAAAGGTTTTTGGGTTTGTCTGAAGAAACACAAAAGGTACACCATGTTTTGTTGGGTTTATTGCCTGTGGATGAAGCACAGAAGCATGATGTATGGTTTAAAGCTAAAATGTTGAATGTTCATGATTTTGTTGCTGCTACTCATAAATGGTTGACTGAGGCACAAGGTTGCTCAACTGGTGTGCCTGATATGAAAGACAATGAGAGTGAAAGTAAGGAAGCTGAACCAAACACTGCCAGTGGTGGCACGATGGAAATGGAGCTGCAGATTGAACCTCATGACAGCATTTCAAATGTTTCTGTAAGGTCTTTTAGAAAAACTGGGACATAACCTTCCTTTTGAAGATATAAAACTATGGACCTGCAAATACCTAAATAAATGTCTGGAGGGGAGGACGTATTGATCAGTAAGCTGGTTAAAGGATTTGACTATGCCATCAGCTACAAGGGCTCCAATTGTACAAATACCCTTCTCTGACCACAAAACAAATGCCTCGTCTTTGAGGCCACGAGAAAACTCTGGGTTAAAATGAATGGGGATGGCAAGAGAGAGTCAATCATCCTAAGTTCCTATCTTATTGAAAATTCTCCAAACCTTTAACATGTTTTGGAGGAGGAAATTACCCTTTATTTTGTTTGACACACAATTTTTAGAAACATATCAAATATTGCGAAAGTGAACTGAACCAGAGGGGCAGTCTCACTGCCAAGCCAAGTGGATTGGGGATCATTTCTAAACCATTCCCAGAGATAGCGACGAAGGCAAGCTAATTGATACTATTTAATATTTGGCAAGGATAACCCCCTCGCCGCTAAAGCCCGGCATACACTGTGCAATTTTTTTCAATTGTTGCACGCATCTGCCGCTCACACCGTACGACTAAACACAGGGCTTAGTCGTACGGTGTGAGCTCACAGCATACGATTTATGTTCGGCCCGACGCTCTGATGCGATCTACCTGCTCACACTGTACGACTAAAAACCACGTCGGACTCAGCTCCGCAGTGAGATGGAGCTGCTCCGTAGCTCTCTATCCTGAAGCCAAACAAATAGAAGGGGAATATAAAGCTCACCATAGTGAACCGCGCTGCCTTGGCAATTTGTGCAATTTTGTGCTGAGGGTCCTAGAAAGAAATGGCGAAAACGTATTTGGAAAAAGGACGTGGCTGAGCAGGCATGGCTGCTGCGGTCCGTCAATTTTGCAGATGGAGCTACATTTCACTCATTGCATCCCCGCCACGCTGCTGTGTTTACATCTGAGAGGAGGAATAAAAAGAAGAATCCTTCTTTGCGCCCTGAGTGATTTGCCCACAACGGTTGGGAGAAAATCAAACATGTCTGATATTCTCCTGATTCCTGATCTGGAGGTGGATGTGTGAGGCTGATCGCCGCTCGTAACCCCCTGCACACTACATGACTCACGATCAGGCTGAAAGTCGGCCCGATCGAAAGATTTTTGCACGACTGGAAAATCGCCCCGAAGATCGCACAGTGTACACCGGGTTTAAGCAAAGTTTTTAACTTTTGTTGATTCAGTCTCACCCTTTTCCTCCTCCACAAAAAGGAGAATGAAGAACTATTCAAGGTAGAAAGTGACTTTCTAGTCAGAAGAATCGGGACCATTTGGAGCACATAAGGCAGATAAGGAAGTACATTAATCTTAAAAAAGGTTTACCCTTCCTATAAGAGATAATGCGAGACTAGTCCAATATGCTAGATCCTCTTTAATTTTATGAATAAAAGATACAAAATTGGCTTTATAAATACCAGAGAGGGAGGGGGTTTTATGTATACCAACATAAGTGAACCCAGTGTTGGGATCTGGAGTTTTCTGACATCTGTCTCCAGCAGAGAGCGCCTTGGGTCTCCTGAGCAGGAGCTTCAGGCACACCTGAAGTTCATCAGCCGATCAGGAGACCAACTACATAAGCAGCAGCCAGATGTGTCTTCAGCGCTGGAGTGTTGCCAAGTTATGGTTAGCAGAACCTGAGCCAAGCCCGCTAGTCTGATTCTACGTGCCTCTGAACATTTTTGTGTTCTAACCTGTTGCTGTGCTCTTTGTTTCCTAGACCTGTCCGCCTGCCCTCACGAGCCAAACCTGAAGACTCACTTCTGGATCTGTGTTCTGTTCTCAGGAGAGAACCCTGGCAAACCCTCACTATGTACTTTCAATCAAGCATTGGCTACATTTTAGTGGAGATTTACTTCATCAACTATTAATTTACAATTAATAAATTTCCTTCCTTCCTTCCTTCCTTCCTTCCTTCCTTCCTTCCTTCCTTCCTTCCTTCCTTCCTTCCTTCCTTCCTTCCTTCCTTCCTTCCTTCCTTCCTTCCTTCCTTCCTTCCTTCCTTCCTTCCTTCCTTCAGTTATCACAGAACTATAAGCAAGAATGATTAAATGACCTCTAGTAATTTACAAAAGAAACCGGCACTTACGTCTCCCATTTCTATCAGGAAGGAGTCAATGTAATCTCTTGGAGATGAGGGGTCAAGGTTTTCTCTATGTTCTACGACCCGAATTTCTATAAAATCAATTACATTCTGTAGATAGTTGAATAGTTTTTTATGAGGTCCAGGTAGCCACTTCATCACAGAGGGAATTGCGTTGTATATCTGCAAATGTAAAGATAAATGTCATCTGCAGGGCAATAAATAGTTATGATGCTAACATAATTTATATAAATTACCCAGAAACAAAATATCCCATCTCATGCAATCATGGAAACATTAAATATTATCCAATGACAAATATTTAAATATGTGATACATTTATCAACATTAGATAAATACAGGTTCCTGTATAAGTAACAGCAAAGTCCATCTGTAGGTGTTTTGGGGCCTTAGTGATAGTGATTTTTTTTGCAGTGCAGACTATAATTACCATAGCTGACTTCACACACAATATAAAGATGGATTTTTTTTCACAGAAGACTAACCTGTACCCAAATACCTTCCTGTAAGCGTATTATCTCATTAAAGGTCTCAAGAATTGTGCAGTACTGCTTGTCATTGTACTCAAATCTACTGCCGAAGACCAAACAACAGACGATGTTGGACACAGCGCTGTTAATCATTTTCTGACCAGAAAAAGGTTTCCCTATCAAATAAAATCAGATTGCACACAAAACACAATTTGTCAAAAATAAAGCAGTAAACAGATGGCAAAAACATAGAAAGCTTGCAGTGATGAATTTACAATTACAATTAAATACTTAATAAAAAAAAAGGAAAATCCAGTAAAATTTGATTATTTTGTACCTTGCTGATCAGCAATAGCTTCAGTGAGGTATTGACATTCCTGCTGGATGAATTGCTCCATGGTTGTCTTTCCTAGACCAAAGTTCCTCATTGTATGAAGAACAAATCTCCTCTGTACCTTCCATAGGTAACCATTTGAGAAAACAATACCTTAAAAAAATAGTTGCAGCTAATATACTAATATTCTCTAAAAGCAGCATTTAAATTTCTTGTGTAGATAAAATCACCCATAAATTAAACCACCTTTGTTCTTAAAAAACTCAGAAAACAATGGAATGGTTGGACGATCCATGAAGTCTTCTCCTTTTTCAACAAGAGCTTCTTTCACGTGTCTGTATCCATTAATGATCACAGCTCTTTCCCCAAAGAGATGAAGACTGAAAACGTTTCCATATTTCCTTGCAAACTGATGACAGAAATCATGCAATGTTATACTTTTGTCCTTTGTAAATCATTAGAGACTCAGAAAGTGGACTCAGTGGGGAGTGGCGGCAAATTGGTCGGGGCATAGAGCTTGAACTCTGAGTTCGAGCCCCACCCTTACAGACTGGCTCTCTGAGCAAGACCCTGCTCCCCAGGCGCCCCACAATGGCAGCCCACCACTTCCCAAGGAAATGGGCTAAATGCAGAGGTAAATTTCTTCAATTTAAGATCAGTAATGTTCAATTATTAAATAGCTGTACCAACCAACTCAGCTGCAGAGCCAGACTTGCAGCAGCAGTACTTAAAATTGAAATATATGAAACCTACAAGATTCAAAGCACAAACAATACAGTAAAAATCATCGATGAATTAAAATAAAACCTTCAATATACAGAATTTGTCAAAGATATGTGTGGGGGAAAAAAACTCTAAATTAGATTTTGCTGCTTGTGAAGGGGGGTAATAATCAATGATACAGATGAAATGGAAGCCATCCATCCATCTGGGAATTGTTAGGAATCAAGTTTGTGTGGGTTGTGTTTTTGTGTGTTTTCCCTCCACTACCAGGTGGCGCCTGGCTCTCATTGGCCGTCTCACACACCTGCAGATGGTTGCCTCATTACCGGAGGATTCTTAAGCTGCTGACTGCCACTACCTCGAAGCCAGAGTGTTTGCCAGTTTTGGGTACTCTAGCCAAGCTGAGTTTTGCTGAGTCAAACTGAGTTTTTTGTCAACCTGAGCCTTAACCTTCACTGCATGAAAAGTGGGATTTTCGTCAATATGCGGCACTGTAGATTGTCGTGGAACTTCAGGTTAGCGGCAGTTTACGGCAATTTGCAGGCTTCGCTGAAAACTCCCGTAAATTGTCAGAAATTGACGTGGACTTTCTTAGGCAGTGTTCCCCCCATGCCTCCCCCCCATGGAATTCTAGGGGAGGCTTTAACATGTAAATGAACATGCTGTGAGCTATACAAATGCAAATCAGGGTTGCAGGGGGGGTTTTACTCCAAGTGACATTTTTCTAAAAGGTAAGAAAATCTCTGATACAAAGAGATCAGGCTCAGTATAGCCTCTTACATTTTAGCTTGAATTGATTTATTTAATTAAAGTATAGAGACCAAAACAGATCTTTAGCTGACAGAGCAATACATTTAGAGCAGTAATTATAAAAAAAAAAAAATTGCATTTAAGATAAAAAATAAAATGTTGTCTGTCAATATGCTCAATTCACAATTACTTAAGTGGAAAAGTTTCAAGAAATGAGTCTGAGATGATTCACTTTATAACATGGCGCATTATCCTGTTGGAAGTAGCCATCAGAAGATTGGTACACTGTGGTCATAAGGTCCGGCCAGGTCAAGATCCGCAATTGCAATCGCACCAAACAGGAAAAAGAACATCGACAAATTCCGGTTCGTCAAATTAAAATATAGCAGCAACAGATCGGTGACTAAAAATTATTGCACAATTCTTATATATATATATATAAAAAAAAAAAAAAAACTAACACCGTTTATTTAAATGATTGGATCCAAACTATTGGTTATTCACCAACCAGGAAGCAGATTTCTCATCTTCATCAAAATATTTATTTTATACCGAGGGACTTAAACTTTAATCAAATCCATTCAAAAGAAACTTCTTATTACAGGAATGAAAAGAGATGTTTGGGAGAAGAGAACAAGTTCATTCAAATAAAGCAGTTTTGAATTATCCTTATCCCCGTTACAAAAATCTACAAAAATATAAATATATATTTGGGCAGAAACTGAACATATGCTGGATGATGGTGGGATTTTTTTAATATGTCATATTAAATTAAGCGCTCACAGGGTTCATACAGGAATGAGTGACTCTAATTTAATGCTATTTTAATGCTATTAGAAATGATTTTAATGCCATCAACAAGAACCATGTACACAAGTTATTAGTGTACATGAAATATGAAGGAGCTGTAAGCAGAGTTCCATGACTCCTGTATGTATGTAAACACACACACACATACACACATATATAAACGTATATATATATCCTCTAGCTTTTTCTCTGCCTGGAGCGATATAATATATCTGACGAAATTGTTTTTATAAGCATTTTTTATTAAAGAATTTTAAATACTTCGATAAACATATTTAAATAATTTTAGTGCCAATTAAGGCCTTGATTTAAAAAAAAAATGAATGAATTTTTTATTATTTTTATTGATCCGCGGAAACCCTAGTTCATCTCGCGCATGCTCTCTACAGCGGAGGATGTATGCAATATGCTTTTCAAATAAAAAACAAAATCCTACTTTAAATATCAAAATGTACGTTACCTGCTGGAACAAGTGAAAGTAGTGAGATATTTAGGTGTGTGGATGGACTATAAATTAAGTTTTGGAGTTCATATTCAGAAATTAATAGAAAAATGCAAAAAAGGAATAAATGTGTTAAGATGCTTGTCAGGAGCTGATTGGGGAGCAAGCTGTTAGTCTTTGAAGAGAATTTATTATGCAGTGATTAGGTCAAACATAGATTATGGTAGTATAGTTTATAGCTCTGCAAATAAAACCTTACTTAATAAGATAGAAGTTATACAAAATCAGGCTTTACGTATTTGTTGTGGAGCATTTAGATCATCTCCAGTAGTATCATTACTAGTTGAATTGGGAGAAATGCCACTTGAACAACGAAGGACTCAACTGAGAATGAGATATTGGGCTAGTGTAAAAGGACATAAAGAAAATCATCCGGTCAGACTTCTTCTGAAAGATTGTTGGGAATATGAATATAACGAAATAAAAAGCTTTGAATGGGTAGTAAAGAAAGAGGCAAGCAGTTTGAATTTGAAAGATTATGTAATAACCCCAACTGTTCCAATACCGGCAATTCCCCCTTGGATGTTTTCTACACCAGTGATCGATTTACAAATACAAAAAATAATGAATAAACGGGGGAAAAATACACCAACTGATATCAGTACAAGAACATTTAAGTAAAGAATATTATTCAGTTCTACAGGTATATACAGATGGGTCTAATGCTGCGTTCACACCGGGGGCAGCTGGCGCGACAGAAGCAGCGAGTTTACATGCAAAGTCAATGGTTGACGCGCGTCAAGGCGCAGCAAAAGGTCCCGCGGCGCGTTTCGAGCAGCAAGCGCAGCGCGTCTGAGCAGCTGAAGCAGCGCGTCGGGCGCGTTTTGGCATCTGACGCGCGTGACGCGCCGCAAACGCGCTGCTGCTCGAGATGGAAAAATTGAATTTTTGCTGCTCGACGTGCCGCGTCAACCAATCAGAGAAGCTGATCTGGGAGCTGGCTGGGAGAGAGACACAGCGCTGATGACACAGACTGCTCTGATCACTTCTCTTAAACAGTTTATTAAAGCATAATTAACTTAAAATATATACATCTGCCGGCAGAATATGTTCGCTTTTATTATTCTGGTGCCTGCAGATCGGATTATTTAGATGAAAAACACCTACCAGCCGCCACGAGGAGGCGACCCGTCCAGAGGCTGCTGTTGAATGGATTCCTTCTGTCGGCGCACCGCCGGTATGTGGGGGTCTGAGCGGCTCCGACAGAAATAACATTGGGAGGCAGGATTGTAATCTGGATGAACTGACTCCACTGATGAAGTTTTCAGGTGTATTTTCTCACTTAAAAACATATTAAAACTACTTTATTCCCACTGATCACAGCAAATATAGCTGCAAGGCAGAGAAAGGATAGTGAAGCTCTGCCCAACGCGCGTCAGACACACTTTTGGACCGCGCAGCCAGAGCAGCAAAGCTGCTTCAGACGCGCGTCAGAATTCACTGGTACAAGCAGCAAAAATGAAGCAGCAGACGCGATTTTGCTGCTTTTGCTGCCCCCGGTGTGAACGCAGCATAATGCTGCGTTCACACCGTGGGCAGCTGGCGCGACAGAAGCAGCGAGTTTACATGCAAAGTCAATGGTTGACGCGCGTCAAGGCGCAGCAAAAGGTCCCGCGGCGCGTTTCGAGCAGCAAGCGCAGCGCGTCTGAGCAGCTGAAGCAGCGCGTCGGGCGCGTTTTGGCATCTGACGCGCGTGACGCGCCGCAAACGCGCTGCTGCTCGAGATGGAAAAATTGAATTTTTGCTGCTCGACGTGCCGCGTCAACCAATCAGAGAAGCTGATCTGGGAGCTGGCTGGGAGAGAGACACAGCGCTGATGACACAGACTGCTCTGATCACTTCTCTTAAACAGTTTATTAAAGCATAATTAACTTAAAATATATACATCTGCCGGCAGAATATGTTCGCTTTTATTATTCTGGTGCCTGCAGATCGGATTATTTAGATGAAAAACACCTACCAGCCGCCACGAGGAGGCGACCCGTCCAGAGGCTGCTGTTGAATGGATTCCTTCTGTCGGCGCACCGCCGGTATGTGGGGGTCTGAGCGGCTCCGACAGAAATAACATTGGGAGGCAGGATTGTAATCTGGATGAACTGACTGCACTGATGAAGTTTTCAGGTGTATTTTCTCACTTAAAAACATTAAAACTACTTTATTCCCACTGATCACAGCAAATATAGCTGCAAGGCAGAGAAAGGATAGTGAAGCTCCGCCCAACGCACGTCAGACACACTTTTGGACCGCGCAGCGAGAGCAGCAAAGCTGCATCAGACGCGCGTCAGAATTCACTGGTACAAGCAGCAAAAATGAAGCAGCAGACGCGATTTTGCTGCTTTTGCTGCCCCCGGTGTGAACGCAGCATAAGGAGCCAGAGTCTGGAAGAACAGCAGCAGCAGTATACATTCCGACATTCAAAATAAAAATTGCAAAAAGAATATCTAATCATGTGTCAGTATTTACAACTGAAGTATTAGCTATCATATTAGCACTACAGTGGATCGAAGAAGTTCAACCACTAAGAACTGTAATATGTACCGACTCAATGGCTACGCTAAATAGTCTTCTAAGTGGAAAATCTAAAACTAGGCAAGATTTAATGTTTGAAGTATTGCAAAGTCTATTTAGAATAAGGCAGTTAAAAATACTAGTATACTTTCTCTGGGTGCCAGCACATGTGGGTGTAGATGGAAATGAGAAAGCGGACAAGCTAGCAAAGAAAGCATTAAATCGTCAGCAAATAGAAATTAATGTATTTTTAAGTAAATCAGAAATGAAAACATTGATAACAATTGAAACTCGAAAGAAATGGCAAACAATATGGAATAATGAGTCAAAAGGAAGACATTTGTATCAGATTCAAAAGTTTATTGGAAAGGAGAGGAAAAGATATGGAAATAGGAAAAAAAATATAATTATTTCAAGGCTAAGAATAGGTCACACAGCATTAAACTACAGTCTTTTTAAAATAGGGAAACATTAGACAGGAAATTGTGACAAATGCGGAGATCCAGAAACAGTACAACATATTATTTTTGAGTGTACTGCGTATGTAAGGGAGAGAATGAAGTTCATACAAGAGTTGAGAAAAATAGGGATTAATGGGAATTCAATAAAAGCACTGTTAGGAAACGAGATAAGACAAACAAGAGTTAATGAAATATTATTCAAATATCTAAAAGATACAGGAACAATTAAAGCTGAAGTCTGTAAGTTTTTAAAAATCACTTTGTGATCACTTTGAGTGGCGTGAAACCTGTTTTTCTTCAAATTTTCAGTCGAAGTCTGCTCTCTCCTCAATGTTACAGACTGCAGCTTTAATAGGATTAAGTTATAGGATTCTTTTTTTTTCTTTTTTTTTCTTTTGGGTATAGCGCAGTCTTCCAAAATTGTGCACTCCACACTCCAGATCAGTAGGTGGCAGAAATGCACCTTTTACGTTGGCCTGCCAATCCGCCATAAAACAACAGAAGAAGAAGAAGAAGAACAACTAGCAATTAAAACTATTCCAACAGCAGCATTGTTAGTAGAAATGGGAGAAATGCCACTTGCATTTAGAAGAGAGCAATTAACATTAAACTATTGGGCTAATTTAAAAGGTCATAGAAATGATCACCCAACTCTGCAAGTAATAAAACCCTGTTGGGAAAAAAAAGTAAAAGATATTAGAAATTTTGGTTGGACTGTGCAAGAAAAAATAACAGAATTCAAAATAGATCAGATTAGTATAAGCCAAACAGTTCCATTATCAGTTATACAACCATGGATAATTACAGATGCTAGGGTAGATTTTACTTCGTTGGAAAGAAGAAAGGGTAAGAAATTCATATTAAACTCATATATAGTACAGGATTATATTAATCAATATTATAAGTATGTAAAAATTTATACAGATGCCTCTAAAAATATAACAAATCAAATAGGAGTAGCCTTTATCGTACCAGAATTTAATGTTAAAATTAGGCAAAGGATAAGTGATGGACTTTCAGTTCATACGGGAGAAATGATTGCAATATTATTAGCTGTTCAATGGGTGGAAGAAGTTAAGCCATTAAGATCAGTCATATGTTCAGATTCTAGTTCATCTTTAATTAGTTTGCAGTATAGTCACTCAGAAAGCAGGCCAGATATTTTAATAGAAATTCAACAGACACTATATAGAATAAATATGATGGGTTTAGTTATGAATTTTGTATGGATACCGGCACATTATGGAATTAAAGGAAATGAACAAGTAGATAAGGCAGCAAAAGAAGCTGCTAAAAATGTGTCAGTGGATTTATTTGTTAATTTTAGCAAATCTGAAGTTAAAATGTTAATTAAACAGAAAATAAAGGATAAATGGCAAAACGAATGGGAGAAAGGAAATAAAGGACGTTGGTTTTATAAAATTCAAAAGAAAATTGGAGAAATGAGAAGAACAGAAAGAACAAGAAGAGAAGAAACAATAATTTCTAGATTGAGGTTTGGTCATACCGGATTAAATGGTACTCTGTTTATCTTAGGAAAACATAGGAATGGGAAATGTGAATATTGTGGGGTAGATGAAACAGTTGAGCACGTGATGTTATACTGTAACGAATATGAGGAGGAGAGAAAGCAATTCATTCAAAATTTGAGTAAAGTAAAAGTTAAATTAGATTTATTTCAATTATTCAGAAGTTATTCAGATAGTAATATTTACAGTATAGTATTTCGATATCTAAAAATAACACATTTATATAATAGAATTTAATTCCTGAGAGTCATTCTGGTCCACACTCCATTCCAGTAGATGGCGGAAATGCATCTATCTGTTGTTTGCCAACCGCCAAAAATATCAAAGAAGAAGAAGAAGAAGAAGAAAGAGAATTGGACCAATGAGAAGATTAGAAAGGAACAGGAGAGAAGAGATTATTATTTCTCGACTTAGAATAGGACACACTGGATTGAATAGATCGTTATTTTTGATAGGGAAACATCAGACAGGGAAATGTGACTGTGGGGAAGATGAGACTGTGGAACATGTCATTTTAAATTGTAGTAAATATTCGATACAGAGAAACAGGTTAATCGGTCTCCGCCAAGTGACGTCAATTGTTTACCTCGGGCGCGGTACACTATGCCTTTTCCACTTAAAATGGCGTCTTAGCAACAAATGTCACGTGACTGGCGGAGACCGATTTTCCTAAATCCGCCCCTTTTTTCAGGCTTATGTTAACTGTAATGACTTATCTTGGACAGGCTGCTATGTAAACAGGCCTTTAGTCCTTCGTTTAGCTATGCTGCGGTTGTTTACACTACACCTTTTCCAACTAAAGTCAAACAAAAGTCACGTGACTGGCGGAGACCGATAAGGAAACTTAGTGACATGAAAATGAAACTTGACATTGTCGATTTATTGCAGAAGGAATCAGGAAGCAGAGGATATCAGGTTATATTTGAATTTTTGAAACAGATTAGGTTGTATAATAGGGTATAGTTTTAATTTTTTTTTTTTTTTTTGCCATGTAGTCCACACTCCATATACCAGTTAGTGGCGGTAATGCTCACCTAACGTTTTTTGCCAACCGCCAATAAAACTCAATAAGAAGAAGAAGAAGAAGAAGAACTGGTAGCTAGAAGCATTAGCTTAGCATGTGTGTGGAGTCATTGTAGAGAGGCTGATAATCTGGGAGTGTTTGCAGTGAGAATGTCTTCAGTCCAGCTTCAAGGAGAGTTTATTACCGAGCAGTTAACTCCTGCTGAAGAAACATTCACGGAGTTTAAAGGGAGTTTGGTCAATTCGGAGGAAAAGATGGACGATCAACATCTACTGCTGGATTTCACCAGGATCCCCCAGATCATCTTACACCGGATAGGTAGGAAACACCTGATAGAAACGATTCCCTGATGATGCACATTGTGAATATTAGCCTCATCTGATTGGAAAACGGCTTAGAGGAGATCAAGATGCTAAGCTAAAGCTAACTTCCGGTTAAAGCGGAGGTTGACTAAAGGCTAAAATCTGCATCATGTTTGGTCATTGCAGCCTTTCCAGTGTGATTGGCTAAAGCTTGGTTTATTTGGGGCTTCCACTCTCTGTGTTTTCCTTCTTCTTCTAGAATAAGAAGAGGAGATGTGTTAATGATGGCAGCAGCAGCAGCTCCTGCTGGCGATGCTTCTCTAATGGAAACATTTAGAGACATCCTGTGATTGAACTCATTAATATCACCACTATCAACAGATTGGAGAAAAACTCCAGGAAACAAATGACTGTCGCTCTAAAACGGGATGAAAAGTTAGAAGCTGCTTTGTTTTCTGCTTCCTCATGTAGTGTGGTGTTATCAGCTGCTCTCAGTGATCCAAACACAAATGTTCTTTAAAAACAAGAACTTTAAACAGCTTATTACAGCTTTTTAGACAACTACAACAACCTGATTGATCATCAGTTTAACAGAAACAACATGGTGTAAAAATCACTGATAGTTACTTGATTAATAGATAAATTAATCTGGATTAATCCCCCCTCCTAAATAAATAAATAAAAATATCTCATTTTGATTTATTTTTGGGGAATTTTGAGAAAAAAAGAATCAATAACAGCCATGGAAGTAAATTAGTAGAAAGAAAAGAAAAACAAGTTTTTATCAACAGATTAATATCAATGTAGATTAATTCAGCTCCCACACAGCCTACCCCCCAAAATAATCCTCACAGGAATAAACATCTGATTTTTCTTTTAAGACATTTGGAGGCAAATAAACCCATTCTAAACTGTTAGGTTTATTCTTTATTAGAACTGAGTTTTTACACATTTGTAAAGGGAATGCTGTAAAATCCTTTAAAATTAATTGTTTAGAACATTTTCTTTCTTGTGTTACTAAAATGTAATTTGATTGTTTTCACTTTAGTGATGCGGTGCAGCCTCAGCATGTGGAACAGAGAAACAGAGAGTGACATCAGTACATAATCATTATTATTATTATTAGAGCACTGAGAATGAACTGGCAGTAATCGTCTCTCCCTCTTCAGATCAACTCCTCAGCTTCTACTCGCAGCTTCTAGAAAGCTAAGCTTAAATTTAACAGTTAGCCTACAAAATAGCAACAATGCTCTCACTAATATAGGGTTTTAAAGATGGGTTTGACAAAGATAATTCACTGACTGATTTACTCTGTGTAGGGGGAAGCCATGCAGAGTATAAACCCCCAGATTCTACATCCTCCTTCAGAACTCGGCTTTGCCCAGGGACGTCATGCGGGGTCCCTGTCTGTCATGTTAATCAATGTGAACTGTTCCCCTGAAATCCCACATCCTCTATCAGCACTCCGCTCCTCTCCGCTGCGCTCCAGACCGCCTGATCAAAGCAAAGCCTGCAGCCTCCGCTGTTCCTCCCATCCTGCTCCGCTCAGACTTCTTCTGAGCTCGAGGAGAGCATGCTCTATATTATTAATACATTCATAGGAGCAAAATATGCGGTGATGAACGCTTAATTAAACATGACATAAAAAAAATCCCCATCAGCATCCAGCATATGTTCAGTTTCTGTCCAAATATTTCCGTTTTGTTGTGGATTTTTCTAACAGGGATAACTAGGATCATCCAAGGTTTGGATGAACTATGTTTGTTCTCTGCTTCCAAACTCAGCATCTCTTCATCCATGCCTGAGATAAGAAGTTTGTTTGGAAGTTGTGAGATTTGCTCCTGTAAGTTGTTGTGACTGGATTTGATGAAACTTTTAAGCCTCTCTGTATAAAATAAATATTTTGATGGAGATGAGAAATCTGCTTCCTGGTATGTTGAAGTACCAATAATTTGCATCCAATCATTTGTTTAAACACTATTAGTTTTGGGGAATATATACAATTATGCTCTGATTTGTCGTTAACAATCGATCGTTACAAACTGGATCTTCTCTGTGTTCTTTTTCCTGTTTGGTGCGATTGTAATTACGGATCTTGACCTTGACGGACCAGCCGGAGCGGAGCAAAAAATAGCTCGGCTCCATATTTAGATGGTGAAGGACGGAGAAGACGCACGTAGACGGTGACGAGTTTAGGAGTAGCGGTGGATGTGGAACAGCTCTCATTGATTAACATGACAGACAAATACTCCTCAGGACGTACGTGAGCGCAGCGCTGACAGAGTATGTGGAATCTGGGGGTTCCACATCCACCGTTACTCCTCTGAACGTCACCGTCCATGTACGTCTTCTCCATCCTTCACTGTCAAAATACGGAGCAGAGCTATTTTTTTTCTTCCCTCCAGTCTGCAGGAAGCCGGCCAGGTCAAGATGCAAATTTGCAATCGCACCAAACAGGAAAAAGAACGTGGAAAAGATCCGGTTTGTCAAATTAAAATATAGTAACAATGGATTGATTAGAGCAATTCTTATATATTCCAAAAAATTAAGACAGTTTAATTAAATTGTTGGATTAGAATTATTGATACTTCAACATACCAGGAAGCAGATTTCTCATCTCCATCAAAACATTTATTTTATACTGAGAGGCTTAAAGTTTCATAAAATCCAGTCATAACAACTTCCAAGAGCGAATCTCACAACTTCCAAAGAAACTTCTTATAGCAGGCATGGATGAAGAGATGCTGATTGAGGAAGTAGAGAACAAACCAACTTTTTATGATCCTAATTATCCCTATTACACAGACTCACAGCGGATGGAGGATCTGGAATCTGAGGGTAAAGCTGCAGACGCTATGACAGACGGCTCATTTTAAACACCGAATATAATACATCAAGCTTCATCAGCCCTTAAAGGACAAGACTAAAAATATTGAGTTCCACTGAAATTTTTTTTTTTTAAGAATACAAATATGAAAAGTATGCTTTATTAGACAATACATGTATTTTATAGTGAAACTATGAAAAAAGAGAAGCTGCTGTATTAATTTAATGGAGAGAAACATTAGCTCTTATCAGAAGCCAACATCCTCAAAGTCGGTTCATCCTCTGCTTATTAATTCCAGTAAACAGACGCTGTTAATTGCTCTTTTATTCTTTAGTCTCCAGCAGTTAAAGGATCCAAAGGTTGGTCCTGTTTCTCTCCTCTCAGATCAGCTGTGATCACCTCTGGTTGGTCAGCTGGTCAGAGCGCGGATGAGGTGGACAGTGGACCGGTCTCTACAGAGCTTTTTAGGAAACCAAACCAATTCCACAGAGAACCAAAGCAAGTGCTTTAATCCTGCTTTAAGATTAGATTAAGATTAAAGAACATTGCATTTTTGCACATTAATCTTGTAACTCTGACAGCCCTTCTTGCAAGTTTTTCTTTTTTTCTTTACATTCACTTTATGAATCAATTATAGTAAACCGCTGTTGACTTCAGCCAGATCTTGATGGACCAATCACAGCGCAGGAGGCGGGACTTTATGATGCGCACTGCCTTTTCTGCTAACATAACAGAAAGATATTTTAAAGATGCCCTTTCTGATGTCTGAGCTTAAAACCTTAATGGCAGACATCTTTAGTTCCATTTCTCTTTAGAAAAAGGCCTTTTGGTATTTTCAGCTTGACATGTTTCACCGACAATAAAATCAGATCTCTGATATCAGATGGAGCTTGGTTATTTAAGGCTTTATATGTGAGAAGGAGGATTTTAAATTCTATTCTGGATTTAACAGGAAGCCAATGAAGAGAAGCCAGGATAGGAGAGATATGATCTCTCTTTTTCATTTTCATCAGAACTCTGGCTGCAGCATTTTGGATCAGCTGAAGGCTTTTAACTACAGTTTGTGGACTTCCTGATAGTAAAGAATTACAATAGTCCAGCCTTGAAGTAACAAATGCATGGACTAGTTTCTCAGCATCACCCCTGGACAGGAGATTTCTAATCTTTGCAATATTCCTCAGATGAAAGAAGGAAATTCTAGAAACCTCTTTGATATGGGATTTAAATGACAGGTCCTGATCAAAAATAACACCAAGATTTTTTACTTTATTATCTGAAATCAGTTTAATCCCATCCAAATGAAGTGACTGGCTAATCAGCTTCTTTTTCAAAGACTCTGGTCCAAAGACTATAACTTCTGTTTTGTCTGCATTCAGAAGCAGAAAGTTAAGAGTCATCCAGGTTTTTATGTCTTCAGACATGCCTGTAATCTATGTAATGGATTAGCTTCATCTGGATTATAGACAGATATAGCTGGGTATCATCAGCATAACAGTGGAAATTAATCCCATGCTGTCTAATAATTCTACCGATTGGGAGCATATATAAAGTAAAGAGAATTGGTCCTAGCACTGATCCCTGTGGTACTCCACAGGTAACCTTTGAGCATGAGGAAGATCTATCATTAACACCAACAAACTGAAATCTGTCAGATAAATAGAATTTAAACCAGTCTAGTGCTGTTCCTTTAATTCCTACGAAATATTCAAGTCTGTCTAAAATAATAATTTTATTAACTGTATCAAATGCAGCACTGAGATCTAACAGGACAAGTACAGATATAAGTCCATTATCTGAGGCCATGAAAATGATCCTAATGGCTCTTGGAATACTGGTCATCAGTGTTTTTGTGGCCATATTAGCTCCATGGGTGATTAATAGGTTTTAGCTTCAGACAAACCCTAATAAGCTCCTATTTTATTTTCTAGAACCCACACGCATTGCTTTTCCTCTCTACAGGACACCATCAGGAAATTCACTCAGGAAATGTTCTTTCCACACATATGCTAATGTGTAATGATCTTTTATTAGCAAACTCTGACAGAGCAAAGAAAGCAGCAAGACTCAAGCTAAATATATAAATAAAAAATCAATATAAATATGGTTCAACCATCTGACCCCTCCTTTATGCTGTCTGTTGGAGTTTCTTCAATTGGTTTGGTCAAATGTTTTTTTCTGCAGCAGTGACAGCAAGTATCCTCCTCTTGAGTGATACGGCTGAGTTACTTTGCTCTTCTGTGATGAGGAACCCAGACAAGAGCAAAAACAGCCCTGCTGATTGCTACATTTTAGCAAAAAATGAGGAAGCTGCTCCAGACGGCTTTATCATTTAGGCCTGTTTTTCTCTTTCTAACCATAATGCTTCTTTTTGATACGATAGAACAGAGAATTTCATGAATCACTTAAAATCAGCTCAGCCTCTGACACATTGAGCTGGGGTCTGTCTCTTCCAGGCAGAGGTGTACAGGAAGCGCTGCTGAGGCTAGGGTGTCTCATTACTTCCTCATTTGCCAGACAGTCACTGTGGTGTTGGATGTGAATTCTTTACTTTCTTTAATAATTCTTTGTGGGGAAACAACTTTAGGCCAGAATGAACTTCATATCTTCAGGTTTCTTGGCAGGATCCACTCGCTCCTCAAAATCAAGGACAGAGTTTGGTGCTTTTATGTGAAGTGTCCTTTATTTAACCACCAATAGAAAGTCTTTCTGCTGTGTTTGTCTTTCAGACCGCCTGCAGGATTATATTGGAAAAGAGGAGGATTTCTCTGACCAGCAGCTCTGTGGACAGGAGAGGAATTCCAGTTTGGATCAAGAGGAACCAGAAGCTCTGCAGATAAAAGAAGAGCAGAAAGAAGCAGAAGATCCCTGGACTAAAGAGGAAACCATGGAGCTCCCCATAAGTGAGCAGGAAGAGCAGCTTGTTCTGAAGCAGGAGACTGAAGAGAAACCTTTCCCATGTTTGACATGTGGAGAAAACTTTCTTAAAAAAGAACATTTAATGGATCACATGAGAACTCACACAGGTAAGAAGATTTATGAATGTCTGTGGAAAAATGTTAACAAAGAAATCTAGACTTGATAGGTACATCAAAGCCTCCTACAAACCTCTTAAAAGCACTTCTGCATTATCCTTTGTCAGCTTCATTTTCTCTATCTTTCATATTGATTCTTTTTTTTCTCTCCATTAAAATAAAATGTCTCCACGGCCTCCTTCACTAAAACAGCGGCCATTTCATGACACTTGATCATAAATGTGTGAGAGCTTAGAGAGCAGCAGGTGAGGTCATTCTCAGCAGGCATGCTCTTCTTCTCGTAACACCGGTTCAGTGAAAAGCTAAAGGGCTATTCCACCTGTTTTATTACAGCCTTAAGTGTCATTTATCTGCTCTTCATTAAAATCTAAACCATTCAGACGCTTAAAAACTGGTTTATATTATTTCAAGATAAAAGCAGAATTTTTAAAACTCCCTTTTGGTTTTGTGAAAGCTTTTTCTGCTTTGTGAAATTCAATAAAGAGCCCTGGAAGGGCCTATTTTTATTTTTTGCATCTGGGCCACATATTTAACCTGGCATAAACCAGATTGACATGTAGTTAAATTCAGTTCCTACACCGTATGAATCTGGGTATCGTTCTGTAGAGGCTGTTAGCAAAAGGGAGGATCATTCAGTACAGTTCTTCCAGCTGATTGGGTATCCATCTCTCATGTCCAGCTTTTAGCCAATCACAGCAGCAGTAGCAGCTGACCAATCACATTCTTCATTTGTTTCAGTGTTAACTGATAAATCAATTTCTTACCAAATCCGGTTGAGAGGAAAACACAAACATCTTCTCCATCCACAAAGGCAAAAATCGTGTCCTTTTGCTCATTTTTCTAAAGTAATAGAGGTATTCCAGCTAAAACAGGAGCAGACATTTTAGTTTTCTTCAGCCTTCTGCCTCTGGTTGACATGTCGTCATCCAGGTCTCTGCATTTCAAATAGTTCAAAAGGAACAATTGGCTTTATCATATTTCTATTGTCATCCTCTATAATATCTAAATGCTTTAGACTTCAGGTTTATCACAGTGATGCACAGTTGCTTCACCTCAGACCGAGTCATTAAATAGGAGGAGCTTGAACTGCATGAATCTTTGTCATGAGAATAACAAAAAGTTTGTCTCAGGAATGTAGTGTGGATTAGTTTTCACTCTAGCCTTTAAAGTGAAGCAGAAATAAACCGGGGAGGGAAAAGATTGAAACTGTGTTTTGTGATGGAAATCAATATTTCTTTGGGAGAATAATGTGATGGAAAATGTCATCTATGTTAACTTCACCCTGTTTTTCTAAGATGTTCTGCATTACCCATATTGTGTCTTCAGAAGAGGAGCATTGTGTCCTTTTACCATCCTTTTAAATCTTTCTCTACTTATTGTGTCTAAGGAGTTAGAGAAGGTTTACAACTAGCTCTGTACTGAGGTCAGCGAAGACAGAATGCTGGATAAAGAGCTGGATCAGAGCAGAATGGGATGCAGCTCTGGCTTTCTGGAGAGCACCTCCCTTTTATTTTGGCCTTCTGTAATAAATGTGTGTGCAGGTTGTTGGGGCGTTGTTGGGCGACACAAGGATGAGTGTTTCTAAGCACCTTGTGGAGAAATGTCCTGGGTCCTGAGTAGCGAGGAAACAGGAAGTGATTCTTGTGGGATGGAAGAAGGAAATGCTGAAAACAAAGAAGATTGGAATAAAGTTGAATCAAAAACAAAAAAGGGGGAGTCCAACACAGAACAATTAAGATGAACAATCTAGAAATTCTACAGGAAAACAAAATGATAACAAAGTAATATGGAATATTACTCGACAAATATGGAAAATGAGGGAAAGGAGTAAAAATGAAATGCTGTAACTGTGGTGGAGAACATCCTGCTGCGTATCACGGATGTGAAGAGAGCAAAAGATCTGAAGAGAGAAGAAAAGTGAAATTAGAGCTCGGAATAACTTTACTGATGCTGCAAAAAGAATCAACATCCCAGTCAGAAAGACCCAAATCAACAGTGGTGAAAATGAGCCGTGCAAAATCTCTAGAGGAGCGTCCCAAAATGGCAGAAGACTCATTCATTGTAAAAAAGAAGGATTTTGTACTTTTCATGGTAGAAGTGATCAATTATAGCGCTCAGACCACAAACTGAAAAAATCCAAATAATAGTGAAAGCTGCAGAAAAGTACAGGGATTAAAGTATTCTGGCCCTAAGCCAGATTTTCAGCTGGTAGCGATTGCCCGTGGCTTAGGGTGACCAGACATCCCCGATTTCCAGGGACAGTCCCCGTTTTGGACCACCTGTCCCCTGCTAAAGCTGTCCCCGCCAATGTCCCTGATTTTACCGTTTTATGAATAAAGGGGAAATGTTGCATATAAACTGTTACTATAGTAACAGAAACAGCTGTTAACGTATAGATGAGGAGCAGAGCGCTTCAGTTTGAAAATAGACGAGGAAGTTGGTTATCACAGCCGGCTGGACGCAGCTACCCTGTGTTACCCCGATATCCCACACCGTCTGTCAGCGCTCCGCTGCGCTCCAGACCTCCTGTTCAAAGAAAAGCCTGCAGCCTCCGCTGTTCCTCCCGTCTCGCTCCGACTTCCTCCCAGATCGAGGAAAGCATGCGCGACATTATTATTAAATTCATAGCAAAACAAGTGGAAATGAACGCTTCATTTAATATGACATAGTAAAAAAATCCCCATCAGCATCCAGCATGTGCAGTTTCTGCCAAAATATTTAGTTTTTGTTGTGGATTTTTGTAACAGGGACAAATGTACATCCTTTCACAATAAGAGCTCATTTAAAACAAAAAGCACAGCTGCATCTATGAATAAAAAATAGGTTTATGATTGTAAAAAATATACTCCTATTAGGTTTCACTATAACTTTATTAAAGGACACAATATTTTAATGCCCTGAAGCTTATTTTTCATTCATCTATACGTGTAATGACAAAACATGTATTTTTGGTGTGGCTGCTTCAAGCTGCTCATGACAATGATCTAGATTTATAGATGTGTTTTAATGGTTGTAACTTAATCTGAATATAAAAATCTGACGTAACTTTTTTAATAGTGACACAGATTTAATCCAGGCTGCTGGAGGCGACCCAATGCACTGCAGCTGTCCAGGATACAGCAGAAACAACTGGAGGCCATTTCATTTTATAGTGATCATTGTTAAGAAAAAAATATGTTTTCCATTTTTATACATATAAAAAATGTTTATTTAAATTTTTTGGAATTGGAAAAAGAGGGAAATTCCCACAGACTCTGTATTGATGCAAACTATCCTGTTCCTGAACACAATGTTATATTTCTAACAAGGGAAGAAGACGGAGAGACTAAATGTCTCTAATTAACACTATTGATTGATTAATATTATTTATCTGAGGAAATAGGAGAGGCACATTCCTGGATTTCACACTTCATTTTAGTTTAAATATTAAAAAATATGTAAAAATGGATGAAAACATCTCTTTCCCCATTCCCTATTTTAATTTTCATAAAATGTTTTTATCTATGAGCTGGAAATGTCCCCAGATTAGATTGCAGAAATCTGGTCACCTTACCTTGGGTAAAAAAATCATTTGAAAATAAATTGACAGTAAATAAAAAAAAATAAGAAAAGACAATTGAAATCCCTGTTGCGTTTGTCAGCCAATGGTAGCAAAGGAGCGCTCTGAAACGAACAATATTAGCCAATTAGAAGAAGAAGGGGGCGGGTCTCAGGAAAGCGTGTACCACCTCCTCTCGTTTCTTGCTCAAGTCTCCAGATTGTGGCATAGTGCTGAAGTTCTACATGGGAGTCACCTTGCGGCGTTTACAGCTCCAGTCAACGAAGAGACGTGTTAAAAAGTCAAAAAATCAATAAATTAAACTTTGTTTTTGGAGAGAAGGATGATGGAGAGAACAGAATTGCATGAAGTGGGCACAATGCAGTTCATGAAGAAGCCACGACCATAGATAAGGGTCTCAATGGCGCTAAAATATCAACTTAAAAACCAATATTAATATGGTTTCACCATCTGACCCCTCCTTTATTCTGTCTGTTGGAGTTTCTTCAATTGGTTTGCTCAAATGTTTTTTTCTGCAGCAGTGACAGCAAGTATCCTCCTCTTGAGTGATACGGCTGAGTTACTTTGCTCTTCTGTGATGAGGAACCCAGACAAGAGCAAAAACAGCCCTCTGGCTCTACTGGAGATCAGCTCAGGCAGAGGTGTACAGGAAGCGCTGCTGAGGCTAGGGTGTCTCATTACTTCCTCATTTGCCAGACAGTCACTGTGGTGTTGGATGTGAATTCTTTACTTTCTTTAATAATTCTTTGTGGTGAAACAACTTTAGGTCAGAATGAACTTCATATCTTCAGGTTTCTTGGCAGGATCCACTCGCTCCTCAAACTCAAGGGCAGAGTGTGGTGCTCTTATGTGAGGTGTCCTTTATTTAACCACCAATAGAAAGTCTTTCTGCTGTGTTTCTCTTTTCAGACCACCTTCAGGATTATGTTGGAAAAGAGGTTTTCTCTGACGTATGCTTTTATGTAGTTAGATCAACAAAAGAATAAAGTGAAGTGTCCTTTTTTAGTCTGTAATAAAAAGTTTTTCTGCTGTGTTTGTCTTTCAGACCGCCTCCAGGATTATCTTGGAAAAGAGGAGGATTTCTCTGACCAGCAGCTCTGTGGACAAGAGAGCAATTCCAGTTTGGATCAAAAGGAACCAGAAGCTCTGCAGATAAAAGAAGAGCAGCAAAAGCCAGAAGATCCCTGGACAAAAGAGGAAACCATGGAGCTCCCCATAAGTGAGCAGGAAGAGCAGCTTGTTCTGAAGCACGAGATTGAAGAGAAACCTTCCCCATGTCTGACACGGGGAGAAAACTTTCTAAAAAAAGAACAGTCAATGGCTGACATGGGAAATCAAGCTGGTCAGAAGATTTATGAATGTTTGTCCTGTGGAAAAATGTTCACACAGAAATCTAGACTTAATCTTCACATCAGAATTCACACAGGTGAGAGGCCTATTTCCTGTTCGATTTGTAGCAAGAAATTTACTTACAAGAGTGGTTTGACTGAACATAGGAGAATTCACACGGGTGAGAAGCCTTTTTCCTGTACAACTTGTAACAAGAAATTCACTTGCAAAAGTCATTTGACTTGTCACATGAAAATTCACACTGGTGAGAAGCCTTTTGAATGTTTGTCCTGTGGAAAAAGCTTCACTGAGAAATCAACTCTTGATAAACACATCAGAACTCACACAGGTGAGAAGCCTTTTTCCTGCACAATTTGTAGCAAAAGTTTTACTCAAAGTTATTTGACACTACACATGAGAATTCACACGGGTGAGAAGCCTTTTTCCTGTACAACTTGTAACAAGAAATTCACTTGCAAAAGTCATTTGACTTCTCACATGAAAATTCACACTGGTGAGAAGCCTTTTGAATGTTTGTCCTGTGGAAAAATGTTCTCACAGAAATCTATACTTAATCATCATATCAGAATTCACACAGGTGAGAGGCCTATTTCCTGTTCTATTTGTAGCAAGAAATTCACTTGCAAGAGGGGTTTGACTGAACATATGAGAATTCACACGGGTGAGAAGCCTTTTTCCTGTACAACATGTAACAAGAAATTCACTTGCAAAAGTCATTTGACTTCTCACATGAAAATTCACACTGGTGAGAAGCCTTTTGAATGTCCGTCCTGTGGAAAAAGCTTCACTGAGAGATCTAATCTTAATTCACACATCAGAATTCACACAGGTGAGAAGCCTTTTGAATGTCTATCTTGTGGGCAAAGCTTCACCTCTAAGACCCGTCTTAATCATCACATGAGAAATCACACGGGTGAGAAGCCTTTTTCCTGTACATCTTGTAACAAGAAATTCACTTGCAAAAGTCATTTGACTAAACACATGAGAATTCACACAGGTGAGAGGCCTTTTGAATGTCCGTCCTGTGGAAAAAGCTTCACTGAGAAATCTAATCTTAACTCACACATCAGAATTCACACAGGTGAGAGGCCTTTTTCCTGCACGATTTGTAGCAAAAGTTTTACTCGAAAAAGTCATTTGACTTCTCACATGAAAATTCACACAGGTGAGAAGCCTTTTGAATGTCTATCTTGTGGGCAAAGCTTCACCTCTAAGACCCGTCTTAATCATCACATCAGAATTCACACGGGTGAGAAGCCTTTTTCCTGCACGATTTGTAACAAGAATTTTATTGGAAAAGGTAATTTGACTCAACACATGAGAATTCACACGCGTGAGAAGCCTTTTGAATGTCTGTCATGTGGAAAAATATTCACTCAGAAATCTAGTATTGATAAACACATGAGAATTCACACACGTGAGAAGTTGTTCTCCTGAATTATTTGTGACAAGGGTTTTAAACAAGACGGTTATTCGGTTATTCAGATGACATTCATTCATGATGTGGAATGATTTATATTTGAGGTGGGCATATATTAATTTCTGTAGTCTTGGAATTAATCTAGATCAATCTAGATTAAAACGGCTGATTTGAATTCTGCCAAATGGCTTCATGAATCAGAATCAGAATAACTTTATCAATCCCTTGAGGGAAATTTTTTTCTTGCCGTGCGAAAGAAATTTACAGAAGAGGGGAAAAATTAGATTGTGAGTACAAATAAGATATAAGAATAAAATCTGATAAGGATGATATGTGTGTGGTACCTAAATAATAATTAAAAGTAAGTCTTTGAACTGGTGCATTAGACCAGGGGCTCATCTCCTGTTTCCAGAATGCATCACATAATACTACTGAAAGCAACATTTTCAAAAAGCATCCAACTTTACCCACATTCACCAAAGCAATCATCAAGAAGCAAACATAATGTGGTAATAATTTGCGGTGTCTTGGTAAAATGAAATTTAAAATGACAAAACATGGCCTACCTAAAGTGAAGGAGTGCAGTTCCCAGCTGGCATCAATGAGGTGTACACTAATGCTGAGGTAGTTCTCATTATAGACAGATGTCTAGTGGTCCCTCGTCAGTGCTAAACACGTCGCCTCAATCAACTTTAGCAGCTTTCTCTGCAGCGTACTGCTCATTTATTCTCCTCCACAGTTAGACGCCACAGGTATGAACACTAGTTCCATGTTTGACTGGTGAGAAAATGTCCATCTAGAAACTCCTTCACCTCACTATATGAGAAACTCACAGGTTAATGGTCTTTTTCAAGCAAAGTTTTGAGAAAGCCATTAATTAACAGCTCTTTTTACATAGAAACTAGAACAGATAAGGTGTTCTATTGTAAACTAGTAAATATTCAGGTCCTGGGTGAATATGTGGATGTGAACATTTGAAAGTTAATTATTTTGGACCTGAGTAAATTAGTAAGAAAGTTGCCCTGACAAAAAAAAGGTGTTTGTATTCATCATTCAGCTAAAAGAACCTTTTAGCTGAATGATAATCTATTGGTTGGAAATATTCCAGAAACATACATTCAGATGAAAATATCCTCAGATGAAAATAAAAGCAAAGGTAGGACAGATTTAATGAGCTTTGCTCAGTTTTGCTGATTATTCTGGGGGATTTTTTAAGAATTCAGCTGCAAATGATCAGAGTTTTGCTAATTCAGTGTCTTGTTGGCTTTCATTAGCAATGCATCAATCAGCCCTGCTACGTGTGTTGTTGAAACCAGGCCCACCAAAACTCCAACTTTATTTGGCTCAGTGTTAGAGCTATGGTCAATAGATATTAGAATGAAGTAGATCATCTATAGAGGAGTCTCAGATGAAGATTTGGGACATATAGAAGTGTGTGTCAGTCTCAGAGTTAGTCAGCTACAAGCTAATTAATGTTGTAAAGTAGCTCCAGCCGCCTTTAAAGGCTCTGGATTATGGGGTTAAACTACGGGACATCAAAGAACTCAGTTTAGAGGCTGGAGTCTGTAGTTCAGGTAAATTAAGTCCTAAAATGATGAAACATGTTTGTTTAAAAAGATAAACAAGATTGATGATGTTGCTGTTATTTTACTGATCAGTTTGAACCTGCTTTAACTCGGTAAAAAGCCTTTGTTTTAAAAATGTATTAAAGAAATCTGACTCTCCTCTAGAAGTTTAAAGTTTCTGCTTTTTAGAGATTTTTGAAAGTATAATTTTCCTTTGAATTAATTCTAATAGTTTTGTTCTTGATTCTGTAGATTTTCTATTTTATACAACTGATTTTATGTTATATATTCTGCTGTGGATGTTTTTAATTATTGTAATCACTTCTAAACTGATGAATTAGCAGCAATAAAAACCTCATGGATTGAAACAATTTGCTTCTTTATATGGTTTCATATTAATTACAATCTTCTTCCATGTTTTCTCTGATGTTTTCATACGAACTAAAGCTCTAAAATAAATAGTTTAATGGCATTCACCTTCTGTCTTCTCCAGTCTTTCCTGTTGCTCCTCCATCAGCATTAATTCAATTCAATTCAGTTTATTTATATAGCGCCAAATTCACAACACATGTCATCTCAAGGCACTTTACAGTTCAATCAGATCATACAGTCAAATTGATACAAAGTTTTCTATCTAAGGAAAACCAGTTGATTGCATTGACTCATTGACTCAAATACAATCCCCCACACTAAGCATGCTTGTAGCGACAGTGGAGAGGAAAAACTCCCTTTTAACAGGAAGAAACCTCCAGCAGAACCAGGCTCAGTGTGAGCGGCCATCTGCCGAGGCCGACTGGGGTTCAAGGAGACAGAAGCAGAGATACAAAAAGCAGCTGTAAAAGGCGGCCCGTCCAGGAAACACACAGCCAGGCAGACGAGCTCCAAGGCAGCTCCCATGCCAGAGGACGAAGAGAGCACATCCACTCAGTCACGGTCAGAGAAACAGGACCACACTGGAAAACAGGCCGATCTCCAACATCTATAAACAAGGGTGTTGATAGAAGCAGCACAGCTGATGTTTCTTTCCAGGATGACGTCACAGCCAAACAGGAACAGACGAGGCAAAGCTACTCTGAGGAAAAGCAGAGAGAGCAGAAGGTTAGAGATTGAACTAACAGATTCTGCAGAATAGGAGAACAGAGAGAGAATGAAGCAGAATGATGAAATGGGGGTCCCTATGTCCTCCAAAAGTCTAAGCCTATAGCAGCATAACTATAGAGATAGCTCAGGATAACCTGAGCCACTCTAACTATAAGCTTTATCAAAAAGGAAAGTTTTAAGCCTAGCCTTAAAGGTAGACAGGGTGTCTGCCTCACGGACTAAAACTGGTAGTTGGTTCCACAGGAGAGGAGCCTGATAACTAAAAGATCTGCCTCCCATTCTACTTTTAGAAATTCTAGGAACCACTAGTAAACCTGCAGATTGAGAGCGAAGTGCTCTGTTAGGAACATAACGAACAATCAGATCTCTCATATAAGATGGAGCTTGGCCATTTAAGGCTTTATATGTGAGAAGGAGGATTTTAAATTCTATTCTTGATTTAACAGGAAGCCAATGAAGAGAAGCCAGGATAGGCGAGATATGATCTCTCTTTTTAATTTTCATTAGAACTCTGGCTGCAGCATTTTGGATCAGCTGAAGGCTTTTAACTACAGTTTGTGGACTTCCTGATAGTAAAGAATTACAATAGTCCAGCCTTGAAGTAACAAATGCATGGACTAGTTTCTCAGCATCACCCCTGGACAGGATATTTCTAATTTTTGCAATGTTCCTCAGATGAAAGAAGGAAATTCTAGAAACCTCTTTGATATGGGATTTAAATGACAGGTCCTGATCAAAAATAACACCAAGATTTTTTACTTTATTATCTGAAATCAGTTTAATCCCATCCAAATGAAGTGACTGGCTAATCAGTTTCTTTTTCAGAGACTCTGGTCCAAAGACTATAACTTCTGTTTTGTCTGCATTCAGAAGCAGAAAGTTAAGAGTCATCCAGGTTTTTATGTCTTCAAGACATGCCTGTAATCTATGTAATGGGTTAGCTTCATCTGGATTTATAGACAGATATAGCTGGGTATCATCAGCATAACAGTGGAAATTAATCCCATGCTGTCTAATAATTCTACCAATTGGGAGCATGTATAAAGTAAAGAGAATTGGTCCTAGCACTGATCCCTGTGGTACTCCACAGGTAACCTTTGAGCGTGTTGAAGATCTATCATTAACATGAACAAACTGAATTCGATCAGATAGATAAGATTTAAACCAGTCTAGTGCTGTTCCTTTAATTCCAACAAAATATTCAAGTCTTTCTAAAAGAATATTATGGTCAACTGTATCAAATGCAGCACTAAGATCCAACAGGACGAGCACAGATACAAGTCCATTATCTGAGGCCATGAGAATATCATTAGTGACTTTCACCAGAGCTGTTTCAGTGCTATGATGAGCTCTAAAGCCAGACTGAAACTCTTCAAAAAGTTCATTATGGTGGAAGTGATCGCAAACTTGTTTGGCAACTACTTTCTCAAGAATTTTGGATAAGAAAGGAAGATTGGATATAGGTCTATAATTGACCAAGTCATCTGGGTCAAGAGACGGTTTCTTAAGCAGAGGTTTAATTACAGCAACCTTAAAAGCTTTAGGTACATATCCCTGTAACAGAGATAGATTAATCACATCTAAAATGGAGGAGGAGATCAAAGGGAATACCTCCTTAAATAACCTGGTTGGAACTGGATCTAACATACAAGTTGAAGGCTTAGATGAAGACAATAATTTTGCTAATTCAGAGAGTTCAACTGGATCAAAGCAGTCTAAACCCGGTTCAGATTCCATGACTACCTCAGGTACAATCGCGGATAGAGGAGTGCTTATGATCTTATTTTTAATAAGATCAATCTTATTTATAAAGAATCCCATAAAATCATTGCTGCTAAGAGCAGGTGGAATGGATGGTTCAACAGAGCTATGGCTCTGGGTGAGTTTGGCAACTGTATTAAAAAGAAATCTAGGATTATTCTTATTCTCCTCTATTAATGAGGAGAAGTATGCTGCTCTTGCTTTACAAAGGGTCCTCTTATACAGCAGTAAACCATTTTTCCAGACTAGGAAGGACTCTCGCAGGCCTGTGGAGCGATATTTTCTCTCCAGTTTCCTAGCATTTTGCTTCAAAGTACGCAGCTCTGCATTAAACCAAGGAGCAAGCTTTCTATTTTTAACGGTTTTCATTTTCAAAGGAGCTGCGTTGTCTAAGGCAATACGCAGAGAACTAGCAACCCCATCAACAAAATCATCAACCTGTGAAGGGTGTCGTGGGAAAAAAGTATTCAACTATTCATCCTAGTTAAATAAACGGAGATCGATGGATTTCACTCAGTCGGCACATTTATTAAAATCTTTGCAAAGAGAGAACAGTCATCATGGCACAGCATTCTGCTCTGTTCTGATCTGGGCAGGGTTTGTTCCCCCCTAGTTACAACAATCGAAAGCAGTCAGAGTCATAACAAATTACACACACTTTGCTTAACAGTAACATGTTATGAATAAACCTTGAGAAAGAATCTGGATTGTTATGGGAAGAAGCTATGTCTGGTCTACAAACAACATTCTGCAGGGAATGGTGTGGCCTTGAGAGAGAAACAGACTGAGTGAAAACTTTTATAGTGAGTAAATATGAATATTAATATATAAATAGAGAAAGATATAAATTTTCCCACAACAGTCCACCCTTTTGATTATAAAAGGATTTTATCCTTGTGTAATCGATATCATAAAAAAAGGAAAATTTATGAATATAAAAAACTAAGAAACTAAAATTATGAGTATATGTAAAGAAAGCTAAAACTGAAAATTATGAATATATGTAAAGAAAGCTAAAACTAAGAAACTGAATATATGTAAAGAAAGCTAAAATCTGAGACATTAAAAATATTTAAAAAAATAATAAGAAGAAAAATAATGATAATTAAAAAATAATGAATCAAAAATCCACAACTGCATTAAGTCGGTGGATAATGTTAAATGATTATAATAGATGGAAAAATTATGGAAAGGATTATGATAGCTAAAATATGTTGCCAATAAATAGAGCCCTGGAATCACACCTTAGTTGGCAAAAATATTTACTGTTTTTTCCCATTATGATACTTTTATGGTAAAATATCTATTTGCTGAAAATTTTAATTTTTAGTTCTTATCATTATCAGTTACCCTTTTTGTTTCCCTGGAAAGAGAAAAGTTCAAATTAGTCAAAACAATAGACCCCTTCATGTCTACAAACTGTAAGTCAAATTATTAATCTGAATTTAATTAAAAGTAAAAAAGATCAATCTCTATGCAAAATGTTAAAATCATAACACAAAAATGTTTCACGCAGATGACGAGTTCAGCTCTTCAGAATCAGGCTAAGTGAAGCACACATTGAAAAGTTGGAGGATTTAATCTCAGCGCTCCTCTTTCCCAATGCTA